CCGATTTCGTGTCCCCTTCCAGTCCGTTATAAGTTCGAACCGCTCGTTTCCTCGCAAGATGGTCCAGAAGCCAAGCAGAAACGCACGGAGGAAAACCGCGCGTGCTACCGATGCGCTCGGATCCTTACGATTTACATATCCTCGTTGTCCGCGGATCCCAGAACGCCTAACTTCCGCGGGAACCATTCATACGGGTTCCATCGGCGGGTCGGTGCCCATCCCACTCGATCTGTCTCGTCTATCTGTCCTCCGTGTCGTCGTACATTTAAATTCCATCCTTAACCCTTCGTGTATGGACGTTTTAAAGCGACACTCTAGAAGTAAAAAATAAGGAACATGAACTGTTCGTGTAGATGACATCATAGTTTGGGTCGTCAATCTTCCCAAAATTGTAAAGATTGTTGAAATGGTAGAACCAAAGTATGGTAGTGTCACCTACCACCCAAGGGTACACCATTTAAATTCCCGAAATCGACAAACACGACGATTTTAAATGAATTTTCATTCGGCTCAATGTTGATCGATTTGTTAATGGCAAAAATTGTCGCTGGTGGATCGACAAGGAAGGTGGTGCAACGTGTTACGTCGAGGAAGGTGCGCGATCTGGCAGCTGCTTACGAGGGGTGGCTGGTACCCCCGATATGTGTGGCAGAAAGCAGCTGAGCTACCCCCATGGTATCGCGTTGTACGCGTTCGATGCCCTATAGCGAATAATCTTTGCAGTCACGACCGCTGGGAACGACCCGGTGGATCGTTTCTTGTGTTCTCTGGTGCCCGTTGACCCCCACCGTCCTGCCACCCCAACCCCCAGCCTCTCTGTCTGTCACTTTGTCTCCCCCGCGACCCCTATACTTGCTCGCCTCCCTGGAAATTACAGTTATTGAGAATTCGCGGGGTTTAGTCGTTCCGTCGAGTTGGCAGACTTTCGGTTAGCCGAAGTGGGTGTACTCTCTCCCTGAATAGAGTCGAGGGTAGCCAAATAATAAAAGTTGCGCCAATATTGGGCCTTATTCTTCGATACGACCCTCGAATAAGTAGTTTTCATCTTTACTCGGTCAAGAATTTGTCTGTAGGTTAGCCTATAATAACTTCTTTTCGTACTGTAGTTAAATATTGGAAAGAAAGTATGTATTAACGCTTTATTTTTAATTTGATGCCCTTGTTATTCACAGATTTCGAAAATGTATGTTTGTTAACGTTATATCGATACTACCGATTCCGAGTATACTTTTCCTGCTTTTCCAAGAATTTTGTTATCGCCGATTAACCCCAAAAACAGTCACTTGCATTTCCAACGTTCCATCGAGAAAGATGGGACGAAGATGATTAAATAACGGGGAGAACAGCATACCTATCGGCGTGGCATCAGACACGTCCGTTGGTAACTCGTTCCTCCTCTTACATCGACGAGTTCTCCCGCCATTTCCATGGCAGTTCGAACTTCGAAGTCGCGGCATGTTTTACGGCTCCAATCCTGTGAGCGTTCTTATCGCGAGAGATACGACTGATGCTCTCGTCGCGTGAAATTGATTCTCGGAGTTATCGTTTCTCGCTCGCTCTCTCTCTCTCTCTCTCTCTCTCTCTCTCTCTCTCTCTCTCTCTCTTGCCTGATAATTCTAATTCGTGTCGACTCAATCGATACGGTATCATTCGACAAAATTAATACATTCATTGATCTTAACTAGCAAACAAACGTTTTCGACTCCTCGGGATTTGAACTCTCAGGATTATTATTAAAATAATAATTCGTGACGATTTGTGACATCATGGATATACGATTGTAAGAATTTCGTGTATCCTATCTGTCCAACAGCATACAGATGGAATGTCGATAGATTCGGTGTCGACCAATCCAAGAAATACTAATGAACATCGCAAAAATAATTAGAAAGCAGCCGGTGCTCGACTGTATTGTTATTCATATACGTATCGTATCAACAGCAATCCTCGAACGGCACTTGTGCACTCGAGCCTTACGGGGGTGGGTTACCTGCCGTGTGAAAATCTCCGAAGAATGCGAGGGTGGTATCAAAGATCAGGTGAAGCATTGTGATCGGCAGAATGAAAAAAACGGACCGAGTCGTACCTGCCCGAGAGAGCTGCATCCTTCGGAGCAGTCGGTGCATCAACCGACGGGACGAGGACCCCTGCCAAAGAGCGAAAGAGACGGAAAGAAGGCCCTTTCAGTGCGAGGAACTCCTATGGTCGGCAACCTTTTCCGCTCTGGTATCGAAAGTGAGGAGCTATGTAGTCAGTGAATGACCGCGCATGTATTCGACAGAGGCGGACAGTGATTGAGGAGTGGGGTGGGGGGAGGAGGAGGTCGTACACTTAAGTATTCTATACACGCGCATTCCTGTTTGCAGGAGCAATAATAATATTGGAAAACTCCGGCACGTTTCAAGTTACTTAGTTGAAATGTTATATGGAGTATAACGCGTTGTTTTATTTTACAGTTGTTTGTATTTGGAGAAACTTCGAAGATGATTAGTTGGTCTCTTAATTAATTGGCCTTTCGACCTGGCTGTTTTCTATTCGAATTCTATTCGTTTCTCTGTTAGAAATTAATTTTATCAACGGCTCTAGACGATAAGAAGGGACAATTTGACTCAGCCCAAGTGATTTCATTTTATTTTTGATGTATATTTAGTGTGACATATGTAACGATGATGATAATTTGAGAGTAATCTGGAATTTTATATTTATTTAGAAACAAAACGAAAGTATTACAGTAACAACATCCTTATTATTCCACCGAATAAATACAAGATTCATAAACATCTAGTGTTTGCAACCCGCCTTCGCAGTTAATAAGCCCAATTAAAACGTAACCCCCGCGACACCTCTCGGTGCAGCTAACACCGTTGTTATTAAACCCTAAGCTCGTAGCGCGCGCACTTCACGTGCACTTAGCGGGTACGAGACACAGGACGTAACGAAAGACGGCGGCAAGAGGGGCTGAAAAGGGCCCCCCATAGCGGTCGCCCTAAAGAGAGGATTCCGCGTTCCGTTCTCCCTACCCGCCTTGAGAAGATTTAGGCGGGCCCTTTCCCAGTCGCCCATTGGTCGGCCCTTGCCCCCACTCCGCGGCGCTACTTCATATAAAGCCATAGCTTCCCGCCAGATCGAGCAGTTGGTACGAGTTTCGCAGGTGAACAGTACGCAAACCCCGTTCGCTGCTCGGTCAGACGCGTGGCGACTATCGCCCGATCGAGATCGTTGCGATCGCGACCGTGTTGTTCGCGACAAGTCTTCGTTAACAAAATTCCACGAGACGAGGAATTTTACCCTATTCGTTCGTTTCGTCCGACCTACGCACACACTGTCTTGCCATGTTTTGGGAAGCTGTCACGGATTCATGCGACGTGTGCCAATGTACAAGGTATTGTCGCGCTTCGAATTAACCAGCTTTCGTTTAACACACGCCGGTTCGTCGTTTTCTCCAAGGATCATCTACGTGCTGTGTGATTCAGTGAAGTTTGCGAAAGTATACGTGGCGAAGCTTGTGCAGGGCTTACTTTGAGATAGACATGTCAGTTTTTCGTTATTTTTCTAATTGTGAGCGTCCTTTGTTGTTGTAAACATAAGTAATAAAGAGTGATTATGGTGGAAACATGTAATTGTCTTGTCAGAAATCTTTCGTTCGACTCTAATTATGTAATTTTGTCGAATTTGATAAATACAAAGAAACCCGCTTTTTGTTCGAACATTAAAGTTAGAATTGTTGATTACGCCACTGATAAAGTCAAGAGGAAAAGCTGTCGAGTGGCAGCCGTGAATCGAATAAAAAAATCTTTCGATGTCCAATCGGTGCAAGAGTAATTCCTGTTTTCCGTGTATTTCGTGTTTCGGTGGATTCTACGGACGCGTGAGTAAAAAGTAGTAGTGCCCGAACAGGCTTGAATCACAACAACAACAGTAGATAAGTTTATCATTGGCACGTTTCGACGAATAGTATTTGACGAACGTACGATGAAATATTTGCTCGTTCTGCGTCTGTTGGCGCGCTCGTGTAGCTTGCTCCTATCTACGCAGGGTGGCGCCACCAGTCGATGTTCGCGTTCAGTGCAGGCGTTAGAGTTCCTAGCACCACCATGCACTTTCTAATTTATTCTCCTCGTGTTACGAATCGCTATCCTTTGAATTTTATGCATTTATTATATGAGTGATAACGGTATTATTGCACAAATTTCTGTCAAACATAAATAATCTTTCCTCAAGATCAATAATATACCTGAATGTATAAATATAATCTTGAATTCGTTATCCATCCAGTCTTAAATTTCTGAAGCCCAGTAATAGTAACTATTTCGTAGAGCCAGCCCTGGTTGGGCACACGAGTACCGAATAGAACAACGTGTTCACCGCGTGTCGCTAGAAAGTATGTACAATGTGCGCGAGTTCGCGCCAAAATCATCTCACGTTCCAAATTTCTGGTCGAGAGCGTCTCGAGTCTCTTCAAAATTCACGATAATGGACGTTTTGTTCGCGATGTAGTGTCTCAATGTTATTTATCAAACCATAACTACAATAACCGAAAACGATGCCGCTTGGGTTGAGCAAGAGTCGCGTGCCCGGTTAACGTAGCCTACAATTGAACGGTACTCCAGAAAATAAGTGTGTATCATGCATTTTCCGTGTTTGTTTTGTTTGTTTGTAAAAGATTTTTGGCTTGGATTGGTAGTTGAGGTAAGGGAGATTACTGTGTGTACAATGACAGTGGTGTAATCTGCACTCTTTATTGACAGATGTAGCATTGGTTGTTTTTTGTATTTTTCACAATTTTTTAAGAATCAGAAATTACTTAGTAGGTCTTGATACGAATCTAGGTTAAGGGTTCTACTGTAAATTCTATCATACGGGTTTTTGTGTTGCTCGTTACGTCACTACATAGTGGGCGCGAAAATGTTTGGAGGTTAGGTTCGATCATAGCACGTGTGTGAATCCTTGTATAGTAAATTCGATTATATTTAATTTTCCATGTTTGTCTTTTTTTCCAGGCTTTTCAAAAATGCCTTCAAATTCAAAAGTACACCCGAAAGCACGGTGAAATCCAGACCGAAGGCACGTCGACTTCTCGGCATGGCGTCGCGACGCTGTACCAGTCCAGAGCCAGTGTCGCCATCTGCTGACAAGGAGAACAGCTTTGTCTCTTGCAGCCCTCGCGCCAGCAGTCCTCAAAAGGTAAATACACCCATACTTGAATAATTAATAAACACTTACTTACTAGAATAATACATAACGAATTAAAGCAACGCGCTCATTAAAAAACTATATTTTTAACCGATGTGCAATATATCATTTCATAATTCAAACTCCAATTTTTGTTCTCGTCTGTTCGTTATTTTTTGTATCTTGATATGAGGTTTGTCCATCTCCGTTTTACATGATAAATGGTTACGATTCAATTTCCGTTCGATCTTCCTATTACTTCTTCGTTTAAGTTCGATTCGTTTCTTTAGTATTTTATTCTTTTGTCACCGAGAGGAAGGAAACCGAAGGTACACCTGTTTTTCCATTATTCGGTGTCATTCGGCTTGTTTCCGACACTCACGAAAAGATCAGAGATAAAGAATCAGATAACGAAACACACCATTTTCGCTCGATTCGAATCATTTGATCGATGTGAACTTGGAACGAGTCGAATTTTCCGTGATCCATGATCAGGTGTCGCGTCGTTGAGATACGACACCGGATGTCGTGGTGCTTCCGCCATCCGGATGCATTCCCGTTTAAATCGATAACCATTGTACTCAAACATTTCACATGCATATATAATACACACCTCTTCTTAATCTACATTATTCTACTGCATTCATATTAGATTATTTTCGAAGTTAGGTTGACTTATAAATTACACTTGTAAATATATAGACATTTTTACAATTTTTTTTTATATATCTGTTATAAACATATAAAATATATGAATTCTCAATTTAATTCTAATTAACTAATCAAACAATTAGTTTAGATAATTCATTATTTAGTTTCATCCACTTTAAATCCATTAATTTTTTTTTTAAAAGGATTTTCCTAACATTCTGATATCTTTTCTCACAGATTGTCGGCGGAAAGAGATGTCGTTATCCGCTGGAGGACTACGACCCGAACAGTCAGGACAGCGGTTACGAAGCGAGCTATCCCGAGAGGGACGGAAAGCCACGCGATGGATTTCAATTCGTCGAGCCCCTGGCCGTTGCTCCCCGTCGTATGTCAATCGAACGCAGTCCTATGGCATCTCCGGTCAGATCTTCGCCTCAGCGAACGCGCGCCGCTCGATCGTCCCTCTTTCGTAGCGTTTCATCTGGCTACGAGAGCATGGACGACGGTTTCAACGATCTGATCGACATGGAGGCTCTAGACGACACGACGCAATTGCCCAATGGCATCTCGACCCTTCTCAGCGGCGATATCGTTGGCAACGTCACCCTGATCGACGCCACCAGCCACAAGATCGACACGAGCAGCCCCAGCACACCAGAATTCCCTCGTACCAACCGAAACGGTAACTTCAGACGATCCTTATCGCTGCAGAACGAAAGACCAGAAATACGCAAGAACTCGACGCTCTCGAAAGTACGTTCCTGCTTGTTTCGTTCTCCAAAAGCCTCACCCGAAGCGAGTCCAAGTCTCGAGGACAGCCCGTTCTCGAGAACAACGGTGTCCACGATTCGTCGTCAACGGATCTACCGCGACGAGAATGCTACTAGCAGCACCGACTTCGATTCACCGTTATCCGTCAGGACGTTCAAACGACCCGATCCACCCATGGACGATAGTCCAAAACTAGTCAAGAGGTCGCGAAGATCGAGCACCAGCTTTCTGGACGCGATCAGGGAGTGCACCAGCACCGATACACCAGCCTTGAATCCAAGGATCGCACCCGTACCTTTGCAGAGAAGCTTGTCTGAAACGGCCACCACGATGACAAAGACGGAAGCGCACGCACTGATCAAGTCGGCTATCCATCGCAGCATCACCGACGCAGACCTGACGGGTGACTTCAGCAAACCCTGCGTTCTTCCGTTGGCTACTGGCCAACACGAAGACCTGAAGTCGATATCCACAGAAACCTTGGCTGCTCTCATTCGCGGAGATTTCAGGGATCGTATCGGTACGTTTCAGATAGTCGACTGTCGTTACCCTTACGAGTACGACGCTGGACACATTCAAGGCGCGCAGAATCTGTACAGCAAGGACTTGATCGAGAGAATCCTGCTGGATCCTATCACCAGCACACCAGCAATCGAACCTGATTCGAACAAAAGAAACATCTTGGTGTTCCATTGCGAATTCTCGTGGGAGCGTGGACCAAACCTATCGCGATTCCTGCGAAACTTGGATCGACAACGAAACAAGGAACACTATCCTGCTCTGCATTACCCAGAGGTTTACCTGTTGCACGGTGGTTACGAGCAATTTTACAGGGAACAGAAAACGCTGTGCACGCCGCAGGGTTACAGGCCCATGAGACATCCCGACAACGAGGCGGATCTCAGACAGTTCCGAAGCAAAAGCAAAAGCTGGCAAGGTGAAAAACTCAGAATCACGGGTACCGTGACACGGTCCAACTTGAAGCGTTTAGGTTTTTAATTCTCGTCAAGTTTCGCGTCATTTCTTGTCAGCTTTCGTTCTATATCTTCACGATTCGGTGATCGAAGCGTATCGAAACGCGTAAACGTGCAAATCACGAATAGACGACGGTCGGGAGGCGTTTTTTATACTTGTGTTGGTCGTAGAGATGTTCGATTCTTGTAACAATATCTATTCTGTAATCGATTTTCAAGCAAAGTGACTAGAATCGTTTCGCTAAAGAATCAAGTTTAACAAAATTAATTCGCAAAATCGTTGCTACCTATAGCTAGCGTATAATTACCTATTGTCCTGTTTAGAAAGTTTACGACCTAGATTAGGCTCACGCTAGTGCATACTGTTACTCGGTACACCGTAGCCTTGTTGAGCATAGTAAGTAAACAATCAACAACACTGTTAATAGGTTTTAGTAGACACTGAAATTGAGGTCTACGGAAAGAGCCTTGAGGATGAATTAATTTTTTAATTTAATCGTAATATGTTGGCGTATATGTATATGGCCAAGAATTAATTTCTTCTTTGAAACAAAATCAAATTCATGCAATAATGCTACGTACTTTCAAAAATTGATTGCGTATGTCCAGTGAGGCAGACGGTAGAAGCTCCAGTCAAAATTTTTGCTTCTACCGCGATTCTTAACTGAAATAATCGACTCAAAATAGTGGCTTCGTGAAAGATCGATTTTCTAGAAAAAATTTCTTTCTAGATCTTCTACATTCGGTGTCGAACATTTCTAGTTGCTCTCTAGCACTCGTGCGTACGTTCTCGTACCTTTGTATTGTAAATAGCTTGTCTGGCACTAGTACGCTTACTCTCTTAGTGAATTAATTCTAGTACAAGGAAACGAAAAGCGCTTATTTTCATCGACGAACGACGCGACGGCATCGTTAAAAGTTGCGCGCGGACGCGATGCGCGAAATAACATTTAATCTTGTATAAAAGTATCGTCAAATAATTTTCGCTGTTCGCGCGCAACAAACGTAACGGCGATGAATGATCAGACATGAGCAAAATTGTATTCGAATAATAGATGACGAATAAGACGAACGTATGTAGCTATTCATTCGATCTAGCAATTAAACTTTTCTTTTCGTTCCAAGTGAGATAGATTTTCTATGATACAAGTTTTTATTTTTATTCAAAAAGAAAAAACGATTCGAAAATCTTTCGTTATTCGAAATTGTTATCCAGATAAGAATTTTGTTCATCTCTGTGGAGGATGGAGGTGAAGCGAGCACGTATAAGATCGCAAAAGGAGGCCAATCGGTACAAATAGTAATCTACTCTTGGGCAGGCTTCCCATTCTATGCATTGTACAGCCAAACTCTGCAGATTTTTGTGATCTTATTAATGTTTGTGCCCCACTTGCTATGTACGCAAAATCTGCCGCGTGAAATTCCATTATTCGCAACTTCGTCGCCGTTTTCGAGGCACTGCATCGCCAAAGTTTAGCGTGTCTGCGCACACGCGTAGAGAAAATATTTTTGGACAGTTTATATTAAGTAAGACGCGGGGAAATCATTTATAAAGAGAGAATTAAAATTATTTGATATGTGCAAATTTCATCTTATGTATGTCTGTACGAATGAAGGAATGAATGGATAGATGGATGGAGGATTGGATGGATGATGTATCAACGCATACACATATGTATTATAAAAATGATCATTCGTTATATATGTCCTTAGTCTATAATATACTTTTCGTACAGTTGAAACTGATGCGTGTTTATTGTTTTATTTTAAACATAATCCAATACCTTTACACCAAATTTTAACAATCCTTTTTAATTATTCTACGGTCATTATGGCATTTGCTGTCTACAAGATACAGGTAAGTACATACGCTTAGATCATTTCAGCGCCATCTGGTTGTCAATGTCCGAACTAATTTCGGAGTTTGGTCAGCGCCTCTATCGGGAAAACGCCCAAGTTTGTCCTCGATTAGTTCCTAATATTTGTTAATTTTTTAAAAAAAGCTATATATCCGATAAAAAATTTGTGACCAAGCATACATCGAAAAATAATAATTTTAATATACAATACAATAGATGTATACAATACGCCTATACAATAGATTTAATAACATTATGAATTAAGCATACATACATTATGCAATCATAACAGTATATGTAATAAATTTGCTATAACAATACGCAATAGAACAGATATCTCTACTACATATGTTTTAAATTATCATATCCCTTCCAAGAAACAAAAATTAATGACTTTGCATTAATGTAAAGACACATTGCGATAAGAATTATATGACCGGCAAACCGGCTTCGTGGTCCACCACTTGCTTTCATTCGCACCATCTTTTGCGCTGTATTCGCTTGCTGGTTCGTGTTCGAGTATGACACAACTTTTATTAAACGCAAGTAATACTAATTAAATAGCTGAATAACGCACCGTGTTACTTACACATATACGATATCGTGCGACATAACATTGTTTCTCAAATTCCTTACGATTTTCTTTTTTCATTCTATGCACTTATCATTCTGGTTCATTCTATATTCAATGTGATTCAATCGTGAGAGGTCATGCGAATGTGGTCGTACCGTTTCTAACAAACGCAATTTGATTATTTGTTTCAAGTGTTGTCTGTTCGCGATAACCTAACTCTTACTTCAATTCATTCGTGATATTGATAAAAAACATTCTATTCATCTGCTAATCACATTTATCAACTCACTTTCAGCTACACTGATTGCAAAGAAACCTCTGCTGGAAATTGGTACACGTCTCTTTTCTTCCATGGCTCAAGCACTACAAACTCACGGCGTTGTGCCAGATGTTATAGACAAAGTACCACAGAATGTGCTTAGCGTATCTTATCCCAATAACCTTTCTGTTGAAATTGGTAAGGTACTGACTCCGACTCAAGTTAAAGACCCACCAACTGTTACTTGGAGCCCTGAGGCCAATGTCTATTATACTCTTTGCATGACTGGTGAGTACCAAGTAGAAATAGAGAATATTAAAGTTAATCTATGTATCATAGACACAACTTACAAGTTGTACAAACATAGTTATTGTCAATAGACCATTTATTATTCAAGATCAATTTTCCAGATCCTGATGCCCCAAGTCGAAAGACTCCAACATTCCGTGAGTGGCATCATTGGCTGGTAGGAAACATTCCTGGCTCTGATGTCTCTAAAGGAGAAGTCCTCTCCGAATATGTTGGTTCAGGTCCTCCCCAAGATACAGGCCTTCATCGTTATGTCTTCTTATTATACAAGCAGCCTGGAAAGCTTACATTCGACGAGAAGCGACTGACCAACCGAAGCGGAGATAATCGCGGAAACTTTTCCATAAGAAAATTCGCCGCGAAATATAAGCTTGGCGATCCTATTGCTGGAAACATGTACCAGGCAGAATTTGATGACTACGTTCCTATCCTCTATAAACAATTGGGAGCTTAAGATTGTACCCTTGTAAACTTGAAGATCGAATGTTTTATTAAATTTCTAGTTTATCCAACAATAGCCGTTTCGTTTCTTTATGCCCTAATAAACTAGTATAATATGAGATTCTTTGCTTGATCTTTGATATTAGTTTGGTTATCCTGAATATTTGTTATATTATATATAAATAAAAAAATTTAAACGATGGCTGTTTATATATTTTATGGCCATTGATGTATTAACAGGTTTGGCAGCTATTTTGCTTTCATTCCTGTTGCTTTCGCGTAGAACGCCGATTATAGCATAACAATTCGATGTCAGAACGTCAGATTAGAAAGGTGAAAGAGGGAGACGCAAATGTTCAGGCTGTTGACGAAAGGAAAAGCTGAGAACTCAACCTGTGACAAGTTGGGTGGGGATAGACCAGGGAATAAAACTGTTCTCCCGAGCCTTTCGAGCAAGAGTTTGTTGCCATAACGAGGCGAAAATGAAGTGTTCGATTATAGTAGGTGCGTGAATGTTTGTCTATCCTCGTATTCGAACTGCGACCACTTTTAACCCTTTAAAGACGGGTATCTTAAGTAGTCCCTATACTCAAACTAATAACAAAGTAATCTATGCAAATTAAATTTTAATTACAATTAGTTTTGTTTATAAGAAAAAATAATGTAATGTTTATTTGTCATGCCCCGTCCTTAAACCAGGATTATTGCCTCGATATTTGACATTATTTGTTGAATTATAATTTCAGGAATTTTTATTTGCGGCATCCACGTTATCGCGGCTGCGGATGTTAAATCGCAATTTGAAACAGCAAGCATCGTCCCTGATATATTAGACGCAGCACCCGTCGAAAAAATTGAGGTAATTATTTCTACGATGTTGATTAATTAGCTTGACGCATTGATGACAAATATTTGCGATTCAGGTCAAGTACGGAGACAAAGTGGTCGACTTTGGAAACGAACTAACGCCAACGGATACGCAGCAGATTCCCGAGATCCATTACAAACACGAAGGTGGAGTCCTTTACACGCTCGTAATGACTGGTAAGCCACAATTTTTTTTCTATATTTGCAATTATTATCAGGATAACAATTTTGCCCATCCCTGGCAGAGTCGCTACGAATCGAAGTCTTCGACTAGACAGTAGGACGCGACCTTAATTTATCTTCGCGTTAATTTACATCGAGACTCGCGCGTTGACTTTCACCGCAGTCGGTTCGAGGAAACCTGTTCCCCGCACGGCCATCTTCGTCGCGGTGCGTGGAGGTCGTTGATTCGTCACCTTTCCATAAATGTTTTTTTTTTTTGTATAGAACGTAATGTCTTCGCCATCATTCCAAAACGACTATTCTTATTTCTGTATCCTGGAGACACTATGGTATAAAAGCGAAATTTATAGCGAATCAGCACCCTTACTAATATGTACCTTAATTTTTAGATCCTGACGCCCCTACAAGGAAAGGGTACAACCGAGAGTTTCGTCATTGGCTGGTAGGAAATATACCAGAAGAGAACGTTGCGAAAGGAGAGGTCCTCGCGGAATACGTGGGACCGGCACCACCGAAGGGATCTGGGAAACATCGTTATGTCTTCTTGGTGTACAAACAGAATCAAGGGTCCATCACGTTTGACGAGAGAAGACTGAGCAACAGGTGCGTCTTCTCATTGATGCACCTCTTATCGTCATAAATAATCATCATTTCTATATACCTGTATGGATTATAAATTCTGAGAACATATTTTCAGGGACGGTCCTTTGCGAAAGCGGTTCTCCATAAAAAAGTTCGCCGAGAAGTACAACCTTGAGGGACCTATAGCAGGGAACTTTATGAGATCGGAGTACGACGACAACGTGCCCAAGTTCTCGAAGCTTCTAGGGTTCTAAGAACAACAGATCTTGGTTTCCTTTATCGTTATACAGGTGGTGGTACGAACGGTAACATAAACGCGGTCGTTGCACGCGATACGTATAACCATTAACGCACGGTGTATATACAGATCTACAGAATACGGTGGAGCAGGACAATAAATACTTCAAAAATGGATGGATACGAGAAAATCGATCGATTCAGTTTATTTTCGTTGGTGTCGTTATAAATATAAAATGTACCCTATGTAGATTTCGAAAGCGACTCGTGGATGGCTTTGGTGGTTCGCGAGTCGTTTCTTCGTCCGAATCGTCACGAAGCGATCAGATTCGTTGAAAGATCGAATCTCCGATGTACACTGGATCAAGAAAGCTTTTTATCGTTTACGAAAATACTTTGTTGACCCACTGTATCTCTTGGTACGCGTGTTAGGTGCGACGACTAGAATACGATACGATATGCTAACAAGGATCCTCCGCGACGATCGCGACACCCTAACCCGTCGGTTACACTCGCGAAATCGAAATCGAGTCGTCGCCGTGCGAATCGTTCGATAACCTTAGCACTACGACGACGGCAAATACCAACGAGGAAACTATTAGTACCGAGTAAGTACTAAGAATGGTCGATGAGGTTCTGCACAGTAATGGCGATAACTATTCTTTTCTTTCTTTCGTATATTTTATATTTGTATATGAATACAAGTTTCTATCATAATTATGTTTGTTTTCTATTTTCGTTAATTTTCAATTCGTGATATACTAAAATGTCTATTCTATAAATGGGAATAAAATGAAGGAATTTAAGACTTTTAATATTTAATCATATACATATAGTAGGCTTGAATTTGTACCAGACAAGTATTGTTGGCACGTGGTGAGACAAGCACCTCACCAAATACACTCCTTTTAATTCCTTTACCTGGATCATAAGAAGAGTATGTAAGACATACTCTAAAAAATATCGATCCATAAGTCAGATCTAGGGGAAAGGGATGTAGTGTTGATGTGTGTAAAATATAGCAGGTATTCAATGAAATAAAAGAAATTCTGGAATATACTTTTCATTGACATAAATACAAAATTTTAATCGAACGTCCAGGACCTACAATTAGTAACATCACAAAAATCAAATCACAGATTAAAGTAGATAACCACGTACATTGCAAGTAGTTTTGCAATTAAAGGAGTACACTCGACGTGTGAAACATGAGAGTATGTCGCTTCACTATCACAAGAAGAGTACAGCTGGTAACCCTACTCTTAGCTGAAAACTTGTTACTTCACTGTTGCAGATGACTAGACCACCAAAACTTTAACATTAACTATCTCGCAAACTATTAATCGTATTACCACAATCACTGGCTTCCGTACTCGAAGCTCTATCACTGTGCAAAACCTCATCGACCAGCCCGACTCTGCACCTAGGGTCTCCTTATAAGATGCTAAGGATATCGTGCGACACGACAAGCGGCAAAGGACAAACGATACCGTCGGTGAAATTAGACGACGTTCGCGCGCGATCGAGAAAATTCGTTTCGATCGACGCGACTGGTAGAGTTTCTCACCGACACTAAGGAACTTGTTAAAGGAGAGTCTCTCTCTAGAGACACGAAACAAGACGCGTGACGACGCGTGGCGAGGCGAGGCGAGGCTAAGTTAGACGTAGCGTAGCATGGCATGGCGCGAGGCTTTTTCATGGTTGGGAATCTCGAGAACGACACAGGATCCCCGTGGCTCGTTCGTGAATTCAAGGTAAAACCAGGTCTGGGAAAACGGTAATGTTCCAACAGAGTCGATGATCTCGTACGTCGCCCCATCCACCGTTGCCCTTCCTGAGTTTCGTTTTTTTTGCAGTACCAGCCACGGTGAGCGTCAACCGATTAGGAAACAGATGATCCTGGGCGGCCTTCAGCACGTTCTGAACCTTCGCTATCGTGGCAGTCGATTCACAGTTGTTCTTCTTGTGGTGAACGCCGCTGGAATTATTTGTATTATTTCGGTTTGCTTCGCTCTTATCATAGATACAAATGTATCGATGTCAATGTACCGTTTCTGTCTTACCATTCTCCAATGTGGAAGACCCTGGGCGCCCTCATCATCATCGTGACCAGGCCAGATTCGGTTCGCGGTGCGACTCCAGCACCTTTGCTAGGAGGCACGCAGCTTTGAGCTATGTGTTGAAGGCTCCAATCCCAATTGTAATCGTCGTACGAGCAGAACTGCGAGGCGCATTTTCGTAATTTGTTCCACGTGACGCGATTGAACGCCATTCCCATGTTGTGTTTGCTGGAGATCCAAGGGATTACCTCGGCCTGTCGGACGAAGTGATAGTCAGTTTTTTTTTTTTTTATCATGCTTGGAGAATCTTGACGAGAGGGTAGTTAGGGAAAATGTTCGCAGAGCGATCGATGCGTATCCTAATCACGATCGCGATCGCGGCGATTGGTCGGGCAGTTGTGGAGTCGAATTCCAAATACTTGGAAATGTTTGCGGAAAGATGTCGAGGGATGACGGAGGTCGACGAAATCGACGGTAAAACATATTAATATCTCAGTGGATCTCAGTAAGTTAATCACTTGTAAAGCACGTAGAATCTATAAACAGCTTTAGATCGTGGCTAGATAATTGTTTTGTGTTTAGATAAAAGCTGTTAGCTAATGGTGCCATGCTAGGTATCAATGGCAACTGAAAAGTATGCTTCTGAGGGGTACATTCGGTTTAAAGGAGTCTAGGCATACTACCATAGAACATTAAGGGCATTTTTATCACAGATTATAAAATGCAGAATGATATTTGACTTTTGAAGTTTCAGCATGGTTTTATCAGCATGTATTGGATTAATGTTGACTGTGTCAATGTTTGTTAGCTTGAGAATGACTACTCTTTTTCCTGATATCGATATCCTCTCATTTCAATACAGAATCAGAGTCAGGGAATGGATACCATTCGCCCTACTTTTCTTAACTCTTATCAATGCAGGCTTCTCGACCTCGTTACTTGATCTGTAACCCCTTGTACGGCTACATCTAACTACACTACGTATTATTTCTTGTTTTCAGACCTCACGCATTGATACTATGTTATTTAATCTATTTATAAATGATATATACAAGCATATGCATCAATAGGAATTTCTTTTAGATATAGATAATTTCAATTTTTTCAAACGATTTCCCCAGAAAATGACATTATTATTAGAGTTCAGTTAGATCTCGATGACCTGGTGAATCAGTGTAATAGGAGTGAAACGAATAACAGGGAGATATAAAAAAAGAAAAAGAAATTGACCCTTGTACCAGAGCTTTGCATCTCTGCCTACAAAAACCTACTTGCGTCAGATTATGCCCTTCTTGAAACCGTGAAAGCAAGATTCATTGGAATCATTTGTGTCTAACACAAAAAGTAAACGAGTATTCGGGTGGCTTGTCTCAAGTGCCTCACCCTATCTAAGTGGAGCAACTCTTGTATCATTGACATCTGAGAAGAATGAGTCTGAGAGGTACACTCGATTCAAATGGTTTTGTTCACACTACCTAGATACGGATGCTTTTGTGCATCTGTTCCACAGAGGATGGATAATGTAACGAGACCAAAAGGGATATCCGAGGAATCGTCAATCTCGCCTGTAGTATGACTGGAATCGCTTGATCCAAGTGTGCCTCTCCATGGTATTCATCTTAGTTGCCAACGGTGGCAAAAATAAATAAAGAAAGAAAGAATATGGGAAAGAAAGAAGACTGGGGGCTCTCCCGACATTCGAAATCGTCGAAAGATTCGGCAACCTTTTGGTAATGACTGTAGAGACCGGGCAGGAGCTGGAAAGCCCATGCGGGAGCTGGTTGCGCCGTCAGCGCGTTCCGACTGGCGGAATTGGCGCCACCGGTGCCGCTACCGATCACACTGGAGTTTCCGGTGCTGCTCGTGCCGGTGGCGACGCTGCTGCTCGGTAATGCCCCGCTGCCGATGCCCTCGGCCCTTGCAGCCTGCTGCCCCGCCGATGTTTCCCGCCTCTTTAATCCGCGCAGGAGCTCCTTTTGCAGGGCGCTGGTGACGCCAAGGAACTAATGGACGGGGCGTGCGTGAAACATCGACACACAGATATTCACACTGAGATGGAACCACTTTAACGGACGTTACGCAACCAATCGTCGACAAATTCGCACGCGCTCGCGTATACGCGGTATGATTACCCTACTACCCTATCATAGGATGAACCAGCTGGCCCGGCTAGCCACAGGCCTCATACTTCCAGGGGCCTCATATTTACACGAAGAAGGCGGTTAAGAGATTTTCATTGACGCAATTAGTTCTCTAGTGTCTTTAACACTTAAACCTACCATGACTGGTCAAATGACCGTTTTCCAACTTTGTTATATGCATCGCTAGTATAGTTCTGTACGAATAAATGTCGGTAGGTTTAGTGTCGATAAGGTTACTATTCCATATTGTTCTTTGTACCAAAAATCTGATGCAGGGGCCCCTGAGTGCTAAGAGGTTCTGGTGCCCTTACCATTGATAAACCCTTTTCAACCCCTTTACCTACGGCTACAACCGACGATGAATGATATACACACGCTCAAGCCGTCGTATAGTCGACGCAACATAATCTTTCGAGACGAAACCGCGAAACAACGTGGGAGAAAACGACGACGAACAATCATGGAAAAATACAGCGCGTGGTGGGATCGATTGATCGCGATCGACACGTGATGTTTACCGGAGGGGACGAGGCGTGGAATCTCGCGATTCAGTTACGGCCTCGTGATCGTGAACCGAGGCGACGACGATCGATTCTCACCTTTCGATTAAAGTCGGCGAAGTAATTGTACGTCTTGAGGTAAGTGCCCAAGGACAGGACGTTGCATCGCTCGCAGCTATGTTTGCAGGTCCGTTCCATCAGTCTGAGAACGTGTAAAAAGTCTTCGGCAACGTAATGATCCTCCTCGAGGAAGAGCACCATGCCCGTGTGGTTCCTCATGATCGACAACTGATCAAACACACGGTTGGCCTTCCACCACCAGTGGTGCTTCGTCTGCGTGAACTTGGCCTCTCTGTAGTGACCGTAGAGATCGGGATGTTTGGCGTTGATGCATCCCAGGTTCAATGCTCTGCGAAGAACGTGTGATTAACTGTTTCGTTGCTATCGTATGCAGCACGCGCGTAAGACTAGGCGTCTCATAGGCTGAGATCGAAGTACGTTGCAGACCATATAAAATTAGATAAGTATAAATAATGGTTGTTCAAAACATACGAGTTCTCAAAGTTTAGAATTGTCGCACCGCTGATAGGTCTGGAGATAAAAATTCGGCGAGTGAATCTTATTTCTTTATGGTGATCAACAATTCGAATATTGTAACATCATAAGGTTGTATAAGTTGGACGCCACTGACGGAACAGTGTATCGAAGGTTTATTGTTGTCGTATGTTCACGTGTGGTAGATATGCGATAATTGTATTCTGCGTGCGGCATTATTATCACTAATTATTATGTATGACATTCAGACAGGTTGCCAACTGTCCTTTATTCGCTGAAAGTGCATAAAACTTTTTGCGCGCGTTTAGTGCGACGTTGGGTAAATACTAGAAGGGAGAGAAAGAACGAGTTGTGAGATTAGCATTATAAGAGAAGAAAATTACGGGAACAGCTTCTTGAGGTTAGCTTTACAAACAGCTGCAGCTCGCCTTTATTGCACGCTTCGTTTCGTCATCTCTTGCACTAAATGAACGTTTTACGCGCGCAACGCCATCATCTTTGAGCAACGAATGAGTGCGAGAAGCCCAGAAAAGAAAAATAAAGATTACTCACTGTTCCTTGCGAATATTTCGCGGACAATCATTGGGATCCTCTCCTGGAAAGGTCCTAGGATGCGTCTGGATGCTGTGGGGGTAGAAGATTTGCATGACGCGACAAAAGTCGACGCTCTGCACGAGATAATTGATGTCTGGGTGCCATACGTCGTGGCTGAAGACAAGAAGGGTTTGCTCGATGCCTTTTGCCTGGGCCAAGGACACGATCAGGTGTCTGAGGTACGTGAGACGAGTGTGCACCTGGACCACTATCACGGGGGCGTCCGGCGCCAGCGGACCAAACGCCTCCTCGTTGTACACCCTCTGCTCTGCATTTGACTTTTGTATGTTGCGTCGTATCTCTGCGATTTCCAGCTCGGTTAGCACTTCGGAAGTTGAGTTCGGGGACGTAGAACTGCCATTTCGACGGTCCTTGAGGAACCTGCAGATGAAGGTGGGGTTCCTTAATAGGATTGTTGCAATAAATATGTAAGATATAATGGGGTTGTTGTATGTTATCGCGCCAAGTTTGAACAGCGAATTTAAATTCCATCCAGATTTCCGGTGTACTTGCCTATGCAATTCTTGGGGCACGAGGGCGAACAGGGTTTCGTTCGAGGATGATTGGGCAGCGGAGTCTCGGCCAGTCAGGCTGATCACGTTCAGCTGCAGCCAAAGAAATGTCGCCAGGAAGACGAGAACGATTGTTCTCCGAAAAGTTCCACGGACCGATCTTACCGCTCCCAGTAGCACAGCTCCTGTTAAAACAATGGATTTACAGGATAAAAACAGTACGTTAATTGGAAGCATTGCTCTATCCTTTATGGTCTCACCTCTCATTCTGACATTCCTACGCGACCGTTCTGAAACAAGTTTGACGCAGCGTTAAGTTGCTTCACTTTCGCCAGTTCATTTACTGGGGAGCTGTGGTTTACGCGAATCCGTAGCCGGTGAAACTGTTGGTCGACGACGTTTTCGGCGCCCATCGTTTATCGCTTGGCGCGTCGAGTCTTATCGAAGGGAAGGCGGATCGTCTTACCTCGTATCGGTGATACCACGCGACGGATGGTCCTTCATTTCGCTGAAATCTGCGAACAGAAGCACGAAAAGTTAACGAAGTCGTCGCAGAATATCGAATAAAAATTACCACACGCTTCCGCAATGTTTTCCTCGACCAGTAGTTTCTCTCCCCGTTATTAATAATAATAGTTCCGCAGGGGTGGAACAACTGTTGTTTGAGACATATGGAAAATAACACTCTCCCACTGACTCCCACCGTTGCATCTGTTTTCTGTATGCACGCGAACATCTGCAGGCTGGTTATAACGAGCGCCAAGGGACTGATAAAATTTCAACGTCACAACCACTGCTCGCTGCATCGGTGATTTGTTAAATCTACCTCCCACCTTTTTTCTAATGTCCTGATAAAAAGGCGGATTCAACGAAGAAGAGATATATCAGTTGATATGAAAAAGAATATCTGCTTAACAAATTATAGAAAATTAAAGCTCGGCAGATCATTACGTCACCCACGCGCGGGTGGTATGATCACTATAAAATGAAATCAGGTAATTCTCACAATTGTATGCTAATTAAGAAATTAGTAGACCAACAAATAAAATACGTTCAAAATTTCGCTACTGGTCTTGTCATCCGAGATCCAACGTATAAAAGGAACCATGAGATGAACGAACATGATCTCTGCCGAGTCCTTGCTCCTCATCCCTCGTTGGCCATTCGTTTCTCGAGTCTTTCCATCCTCTTCCGGTTCGCGGAGTTCACAGAGATCGTCCGCGTCCAGAGTAACGTGCATCCGTTCCTTGGTAGCTACTTTCCACGGGTTTTTCTTCTTTCATCGCGTTGTGCGATGAACACGTTGCCTCGGTGTTGAACTTATTTTTAGTACGGCACGCGGACTAGTAGGAAGTCGGAAGAGGGGGGTAACGAAGGCGTCCGAGGAGGAGGAAGAGACGGACTGTTCGCGATGTCGTTGAGCGATGCCGAATCGAAACTGTACGAAAAGCCACGACGAAAGTCCAATGGTCGATGTGATTGACCTTAATCGGCGATCGTTGTCGCAATCACTGCGTCGTTCCTGCCCATCGATCGGGGTGATAGGTCGAACCGGATGGCGAGACCAGTCGTAGAAACATGGACGTTCCGAGGGTTATTGTTGGAAGAAACGGTTTTATTTTTACATCTGATTTATCTGACAAGGAAACACGAACCCTTGGAACGTATATAATTTTAGGGACAATTTTGCACGAGTTTTCCCATTGGTCCACTTTCAAAATCACCCTGGATTTTGTCGATACTACTTCTTAGCTTTAGGGTAAAATTATCCCTTGTATGAAAGTTTATACGCAAGTTTTATTTGTGTCTGTTTTTGGAAGTCTGTAGATTGGTAGGAAAGAAGTTACGAAAATTTGTGTTTCTTATTATAATGAAATACATGTATTCTCTTATATGTTCTTAAGTCGCATCAATAAACAGTACTGCAAGGCTTCGTTAGAATTCCCATTCATAAGTTAACCGTGTTCGCTCGAACCTCTTTAAATTGTCGAGTTTATGCAAGGCATCGTGTGTCCTGTCCAACCATTCTACTCCCATTCCTATTTTACCAGGAGCCTAAAATACACCGATCGCGAGGATACGATCTCAAAACGACCCTGAAACGACAATTTACATTGGCTGAACGTAAGATTATAAACAGGCATTGCGAACAGTCTTGGCATCCGTTCAAAACGTTACATTCCGATAACGCAAACTTTACAATTCCAGGTCATTCGAAGGTCGGCTTTTCATTTTATATTATTTTATACAACAAATTTATTTTATCCGAGCACTCGCTAAATGACGGACTTAACAATCACAGCATAATTGTAATGTTATCAGCCGAATATTCTGATAAACCACTGGTGCGATATGAAGCACAGCAGTGACATACATACGTACAGTTTACATTCGTTCCTTTTCGTGTTTTGGAACTGGGCCACCCCCAACACACCAAGAAACATACAAATTCGAGCGAGAGGGTTGCATATTTTTGCTTTCACTTTGCTGTATTTAGTAAGCAGGCGAAGCGATGGTATTCCTATATAACATAGTCACGTGATACACACAAAAAAAAAAAAAAAAAAAGAAATATTTTGCACACAGAGTGAGAGTGTCTACATAAACCAGTATTTCAGCAACGTGAACCCTCGATACATTCATCCTTACTAAAAATTATCATCGTTCTCTAACATAGGCAGTAATACATAGAAAAAGTCTCGTGTAAATAACTTGACTCGCACTGATGGAAACTATTACCGTAAAAAGAGGGCATTTTTCCCACCTTCCGCCCTCCCTCTGCCTCGTGTACGTCGTTAGAAATGCAGCGTGGTCCGCGTTTATCCAACTGATGGGGCAGCGAACGCGTCAAGGTGAGCGGAATTTCGTTTTCCGCGCGAGCACACAACTGTTCGTCGAACGTCCCGCCGCGGCAGTTCGTATCGCGAACTCTCGGTAAGCAGGCTGGACAGACTTCGGTGGACCGATCGACGCAGAACCCGCGACGACGTTCCGCACGTAGAATCCCCCGCGGAACGTAGCCGTGTCGATGGAAGGGGTAGCGGCGACGCTGCCGGCGTAGGATGACGAATCGGAGAAGAGAAGAGAAGAGGCGGCATCGATGAGAAGGTCTCTCGGGATCGCGGAGTGGTTTTCCGTAGACGAGCATCGAGTGGCTCGATATACCATTTTGCTCCGGTGCCTGTGCAATGTAGGTCAGCTGACTTGGCTGGTTGACGCGAAACAATGCGGATATCCGTGAGCAAGCTAACCGCGATATCCTCGCCACGAGCAAGGGAACAGGGACGCGAGGAGAAGAGGGAACCTACTCGAGAGCACAAGGAGCCTCGCGAGCAACGATAAAACTCTTTCTAACCTTCCCCCTTTTTTCCCGTCTCTCTCGCGTTCCTTCTATGTACCCTCTCCCCTTGGTCTTCGTCGGGTACGCTCTTTTCTCGGGTCTCCGAAAAAGAGCAACTCGGGACCATCTCGCGCTCGACATCTCGGTGTTTCCACGTGCAGTGGTCAGTGGCGCTGGTTCCTTTGCATAATAGTGTCTACTGTCGCCATTTTCCTAGCGTCGGGAAAATACGATAAAACCACGAGACTCTACCGCGCCGATTTAAGATCGCGGATTACATATGTGGCTTACGGCTAACTCAATAACTACCGATTATTGAATCACCACGTTTCTGCACTTGGAGCATAGATAACGAAATGCTAAACGCGCGCAGAGCGTGTACACTTACGTCGAATAGTCGCGTTATTTTATTAATCTATGAAATAAATTTTCATACGCTTTGCATACGTTACGTCTGGAATAGTAAACGCTACGCGATTCAATCGTATCGTAACCGTAAAATACCAGCGCGACTCGCGTGTCGTTCCTTCTACTATGTTTCTTCGTGCTCTTTATCTACGCTCCGTCGGTCACTCCATTTCCTTTCCGTCGTTCTTTCATGGCGATTTAGACGAGCAACCATCAACCTTACTTTGCACGTTCGCGACCTAACTGTAAAATTCCAGCACGACACGCGAGTGCGGTAATCAACCGCGAACTATATCGCTAACCAACGTCTACGAAGAACGTTACGTATCGTGTAACGACTAATCGCTTAACGCGCAAATGCAAACGACACGCGTGGTCGCTTTCAAGGTAAAGTCGGAAAATCGGTGCCGTCTTGCGGTTTCGCGAATGCGACGATTTTTTTTTAACTCGCCGTAGGAACGCGGAGGGCCGGAGGGGATGGAGGGGCGTGATAAGGAGGGCAAAGGTACGGAGCAGAGCTACATGGAGGGTCGGTGCAAAGTAAAATGTTGGGTTAGGAGGTCGAATGGTCGCTCTTCTTAGGAAAGAATCGACTAAGATACGCTAACATTATTTGTTAATTTTGTTCTTAATACCGCGAGCGAATTATCGTTCCAGTTACGGGGTGATCTAGCAGTCAGGTGCATCCAAAATTGGAAATAGAATTTTTAGTAGACTTTAGCGATTTAATATTTGAATCGAAGTTTCCTTTGTTCGATATGGATCTCGTAATCGCGCGTCCGTGTCTCGCGTCCCTCCTATTTGTAGTTTCCCTTAGTTTCACAACAATATTCTCTTCGGAAGTACATAGCCGTGTTTTGATTGAATGTAAATTATTTTTTTTTATAAACAATTTAATGCTCATTTTTAGGGCAAAAAGTCGATTCATTGCTTAAAAAGTGCGCCACTTCCACAAAAATTGATTACGAAGAAAAACCCTACGTACTTCCAAAGCCAATTGTATATAGATTATAAATTTTCTTTAGTCTTTGTTCCATGACTCATAGACGTCGAGAAATCCGTCCTTCCGTGGCGGTGTTTTCAAAAAAGCTGTTTTCGACGACGGGCTCTGTCGCCGCCATTTTGTATGAAAATGACAATAAAAAAATTGTTTTTCGTTCTTCAATACGTGTTAAATAAACCCTTCGAAAAGAAATTCTATTCCATTCGTCAAACTCCCAAAATAAATTGTCGAATTTAGGTCTTTTTTTCTGCCTCTAGAGTGGTTTTACCCCTTAATACTAATGCGATATACGTCATGTAGTAATTTATAGAATTGAAAATGTAATTTTCACTGGACACGGAACAATGTCTGTATTTCATTCAGTTTTTCATTTCAGTTATTTGTGTCGGGATAAGATTTAGCCGCGCATCCGTGCAGCGTCAACGAAAGTGGATACGCGCAAAATACTCGTCCACGTCGAACAATGAATAAAAGATAAACTGTTTATTCTACAACTCGTTGAATAATGATCGCAACTTGAATTGCGGTACGCGGCGTTTCCCTAGGAACAACGAACAATATGTACGATCGAAGGTCGTGAATAAATCGGTGCACGTTGGTTGACCCGTTGCGTATTATTGCAGCAGAGTTTTGCCCATTTCCTACCGAAAGAAAGCGGGGAATGGTAGAGAGAGTCGACGGGGATGACGGTGGGATATCGATCCGGGGCGCGAACTCGAGGCAGGGTTCCTGGGTGTCACGAGGCGAATCGCTTTCGTTCAGGTGAAATGGGACGTGCGTGTGACGCGTTTACTTACGCAGGTCCACCGTCCGTATGTCCCGATGGAATCGGCGAATCCGCGGTCGCGAAACGTCTTTCGGCTCGACTGATCACGTATCGGCGAGCGTGTCATGGTAGATCGCGAACACTGCGGAGCGGGAGAAGCGACGAGTCATCGCTGGCCACTCGTATTTTCTTCCGTCGGTGCGTCGAGTGATTTCTGTCTTGAATTGCTCACACGCTCGCACTACTTTACGACGAAACTGCGATCGAGGCGCGTTCTTCGAATCCGTAACCGAGCGCGAACCAAGACCCCACCCACCCTCCGCTAGGTATCGCGTTTTCACGCACCCACGTAACCACGATGCACGTTGCACACCCCACGCGTTCACGGGGGTGCGATTTCCATTCGGGACGATCGATCTCTCCTGTCCTGCCATCCCTCGGAGATTGGCGTCGTTATGGTCGCGCCTCAGCCGGCACGTCGATAATTTGTCGGTCGATAAGTACTGTTGGGTCGAGAAAACAATATTGCCAGTTAATAGCATCCAAGTTTAATTTACTTTGCAGCTTTGCTTGCATGTAATTTTAATTTAGTAACGTGATACGGTTCTTAGTTGAAGGAACGGGTCGAGTTACCTTCGATACCTCGAGTGTGCTCGCCAGAGGGAAGTAGTAGTTCCAACTAGTCAGCCAGGGTCCTGGAGGGATCACTCTACTTCGAATCTTATCCTCAGTCTGAGCATAGAAACAGATGCAGGTGTTACGCGAACAGGAGAAGTCGTTACATAGAGGTGGCCGTCCTGAGTCAGACCGATATGCCTGAACACATAATTTCTTTAAATTACCAATAATATTTCTGTTTATTAATCACTAGTTTTATAGTATTCGTGGCTTTTAAAATCGCTACTTTAATCGCAAATGTAACCTTTCTTACCAATTTCCTTTTTCTTTGAATAATAACTTGATAACTTCAAGTGGCGTTCGATCGACACGGTTCGATCTTCTCTTTTGTTGGTCCATTGATATTCCTCGACGAAAGCAAATCACCCTGCTCTGAAAAGAACGATTTCTAATTAAGTATAACAGAATACGATTGAAAAATGGTAAATAATATTAGCGCGATAGATCCCGTCTTGTCGAAATTGCAAGGAGAAAAAGGCGAGTGGACCGAAGGGGTTGGAAGTGGTTAACCGACGCGAAGTTAACTCGTGCGGGGAATACGGGAAAGGAAGTCGAGTGGCGGAGAAAAAGGATTTCGATGTAATTCACCGCTCCAGATGGACATCGATTTTCTCTCTCGCGCTCGTTCCATTTTCCTTTCTGATCTCGAGACCAAAAGACGAATTTTTGACGAGGGGTGAAAATATTTTGATGGACGCGTGACGCTTCCTCCGATTTAAGATGATTTTTTCCAGACTGCGACTATGGAAGAAAATACGATATGCGTCTCGAGATCGTTTTATTCGCGAGAAACGTTCGTCGAACATTGGCCGAAAGAAGGAAAACCACGTTCTCGTTCGACGAGGGTGATTTTCGTTTACTTTACTCGTTATCAGCGCGAGACTGCATCCGTGGAACGTTATTGGCCTCCCTATCGATGATCACGTCCGTTGTTCTCGCAGTCTTTCACTTGGCGATATTCGAAATCGTCTTGTAGGCCTGGTAGCGGGCGTGCATCGATTCGTGGATGTTGGAATGGAAGGCATCCACTTTGAAGATACTCTATCGTCAAGTATAGCAATTCGAATGCAATGTTAATAGTAATTTTGGTTCGAAACTTGAAGTTTATAAAGTTAGCTCGATGGCTGCGCGTTCTTACTCGTTGACCAAGGACCTCCTCAATTTTTTATGGGGCGTGGGTGGACCGTGGCCTTCCACGCCACACGTTCCCTGAATTATTCGGCAATTTCGAGTCGAGTGACTTCTTCTGTAATCTCTCCGTCATCGCCATTTCCGTCGCTGGCGCGTACGGATCGTTTCTCATTCTATTTCAGCTTTTTATTCGCTACGGAATATAGAGAAAAACTTTATCCAACTCTTTTATTATTGTCACTACAAAATTCAAAGCTTAAACATAAAATTCCATCGTCACAGTATCCAAGAAATAACACCAAGCCTCGACCTAGCAATTCCAAGAAGGGAGATGGCTTCGCGACGTTAGGCGAGGGAAAAATCGCGACACTTTGAAAGGATTCGACAGTACACGCGTGTCTTTTGGGGGTAGAAACGCGGAAACTCGACGAAGATCGAGGAGTGGCGATAGTCTCGCGAAGAAGAGAGCTGGTAAGTGGCCGATGCCACTGGAGGCAATCTTCCCCTCCGCGATCCATCCGTTCCTCCTCGAATTAATTACACGGAAGATGGGTATACCGTGATAGAGGAGTGCCTGCCGTGGACAGGCCAGGATCTTCCGTTCCCCTCTAGCTCGTTCTTGGATATTTTTCGCGATTCTTCTCCTCCGTCGTCGCCATCGTTCGCAAACGTCCTGAAAGGGCTTCGATTCTTGCGGAGGAATCGATTTCTAGTATCAATTGCGAACTTTATAGACAAATTAGTGCCAACGTGGACTATATTAAAAGTCCAAATTTGTAGAATTGGAATATTACAAGTATTTTATACGAAACTCCCCGCCATTCATCGTCTCATTTTGCCGCGTGAGCCTGGTTTGAGACTCTCCAAGTACGATAACAAAATGGGTATGTAATATTTACAGAAAACAGGAATAGCAGGCAGAATTGTTTTCTCTGTTTTAAAACGAAATTCGACTCCTTGAATTTTAACGACGTCAGAAACGAAAGGGTTAATGCAGATACGCACGGATGACTCCTGCGGAATCGAACCGCTACTCACCACCTGTGGAGCTGAACGAGAAAGCGATATAGAAATTCCAGGCAGGAAGCCGGTTCACTTGTTGATATTAGGAAACTCTAGGGAAAACGCACGAGGTGCAACTTGTTGCTAAACCGGCGCATTTCTCCGATTCTCCAATTCATGCGTTAAATGTTGATCCACGTCCCAAAATTGCGAGACACCTGTACAATCTTCGCCAAAAGTGCAGACTAAACGACTCAAAGGCCACAGGAAATACTTAAGTCGAACATTATTTGTATTCCTCTGGCTTTTTACTTCGAAACAAAAATTGACCCGAAGTGGTCAAGTACTATTCGGGCAAAACTACAGAGAGAAAAGATAGAAAAGTACAACTTTCACCTCTGGAGCCAAACATGACCGTGCGATACCGGTTCGAAGTTACCCTGGTTGGCCAGCTGGTCCCACGCGAACGTTTTTAGTGAAACGATTCGGTTCAGGCGGATCAACCGCGAAGTCGTTGGATAATCACGAAGTGCGTGGAGGGTGGTATTTGGGCGAGTGAACGCCATTAAGATTACGACACGAGGGATGGTGGAAGAATGAGAGATAGCGGTTGGGAAGGGTGCACGGTCCGAGGTCAAAAGGAACGCGAAACACTCCAAGAATTCTCGACACGCGGACTAGGAGCGGGGCTTTATTAAACCGCCTTTTATCACGTTCCAGAAACGGAGCCGACTCTGTCGTCGTTCCAGCCTCTTCCATTGCCCGCGTAAATGTCGAGAAAACGCTATCGATCGACGAACCGAAGGCCGACCAGAGAGACGAGCGCGATACCTCCAGTCTTGGACAAACTCCGTTCGAGAAGGAGTTCCTTCGATCTCGATGAAATCTTCGACCAAGGATCGCTGGCTGGAACTAGGCTAAAATGCATATTTGCATACCTTACAATGGGGGTTGAAAGACCAACGACTATTTGGTTTTTTAATAAGCGGGTTGTGATAAGTCTCCTTCGAGCAAAGAGAATTTGGATGAAATTTTTGAAAAGATCAATTATTCCTCAAACGATAGTATCAGATATACAGTTCGTTATCCTTTGATCCCGCTTTCTTCGATGAAGAGTGTCTATAACACTTTTATCTACAATAATTCTTCTACCACATACACTAAACTCTCTTACATGGTACATACTTATCGGTCTCGTCGCTCCGTGTTCTCTTATCCTTCTATCTTCTGACACCTCCGTTAGCAGTGTTGCAAGACCCGATCGGCTCGAATACCTCGTAGCTACAATCAAACGTAGCCACAACCCCCGAGGTCGCTGGAAAAACCAATTATTTCAGAATTTAGAACGCATGTTCCCCTCCTCGACTGCGCCCCTGACTTCATTACGAACACGAAAATCGGTCTTGCTTACCTTTTCTCTAATAATAAGTGAGAGTCGCGACCGAGGGCGACCATAGGGATAAAGTCGGCAGTAGATGGGGGTTAAACGCGGAATCCAGAGGGCAGAGAAGCGGAGGGAAACGGGGATCCGTGTAACGTTGAAAGGGGGCGGGAGCAATGGGGAACAGTGGGGGCTTCCGGGGGCGCGATGGACCATGCGCTTTCGTGTTCTGCCGCGGGACTCTGGATCCTCGGAGGATCGAGAAGCGCGGACGGGCAGGACGGGCAGGACGGGCGAAGAAACGACGGAGTCGCGGACGCGGATGGGAACACGGACGACGCCGAGCAGAGAGTGCGACGGCCTCGAGCCGGAAAAATCGGGGTGAGATGCGCCCTTACCGCTCTCGTCGCTCTCAATCGGCCGCGGCGCTTCCACCTGGAAGCACGGCTGCTCCTCGTCATCCAGTTTCACGAACCTACCACCGATCCACCGATCGGGACCAAGCTCCATCGACTCTGCGCTCGTCCGACACGCGTCGTCGCTCCGATCTACCATCATAGGTAAGAAACCACCTACAACAAAGTCCTTCCTTTGCGTTCGTGTGTTCGTGGGATCGTTTCGCTCCACGACCCTGCAGTGATTTATTTTAACGCTATCGGCTCCTGCCAGGCACCTGTTACCGATTAGTCGATAAATCCGCGCGGTGGACGCCCACCGGTGCTCGAAGCATACGCTTCCGGGGACTCACGTATGCTTGGAGAATTCAGCTAGAACGTTTTACTGGACTGTGATTTATGTTTTTCGTGATTAATGTTTGGGAAGTTTGCGGAGTACTTTCGGCTGGCTTATCGAAGGAGACCCATGTGTGGGGGCGAAACTTTTGATACCGGATAAACGCTTCTAGCCGGCTATATTATAGGGAATCGTATCTATATTACATAGGTAAACACATTCGCTTTCGAGTTTTAGAAAAGTGAAATGACGAAACGAATTTTAGACTATCTATGGAAAATGCGTCATGTACACATTGTATCGTTTGACTAAATGAAATAATAGTTTTGATATTACCAAATGAATTTTTCGTTATAAATATGTATATGAATAAGCTTGTACAAAGATACACTTGGAAATATCAAACCTACCATTTAATTTAAACAAATTTCTTCAAGGACTGACTGTATATCGTGCAACACATTTTAGTTTCGTTTCTTTTTGATTCCTCTCGAAACAAGGTATTCGCAGAAGCTTCAAATATTCGCATTCCATGTTTTAATTTAAAGCATATGGAACAGTCATCGTTCCATATCCATATCCATTTTCCTTTACTCGAATTTCAACTGTTCAGAATTTGAACAGTAGCTAACTCCCGCGAAGAACCATCCACGATCCAGTAGATCCTCGCGATCATCCCCTATGTCGACGCCCTCCTTCGATCTACCAGTGTTACTCAGCCTTCCTTCCTTCCCTTTCCGTTTTCTCACCCCGAAAACCTTGTCCTTTCGAGGGGAGATTCCTTTCCGTTGAATTTCCTGCCGCGACCGGCTTGTTCGTAATCGAGATTCGCCGAGTTTGAATTCGTCCTCGAGACCGTACCCTCATTTCCGCGTGTCATTCGCAGCTTCTCTCTCGAATCGTCTGGTCCGTCTTTTCCCTGGAGATCGCTCGACCACGCTCCTCTTGTCGAGAACAAACGGGCATAGCGATGGGGAAAACGGCGAAACGTGGCGAGCGAGAGAAAGTTTATTCTGGAAAACGTCAATTTATCGTTTACGACTCGTAGACGGCTCCGGTAATATCTCGTTTTGTATTTAAAACAAAAGGAACTGTCATCGATAGCCGGGGGTTGCTAGCGAATTTGTTTAGGTGGATGAACTCGAAGGTGGACGGTTGAGAGAAAAGGGAGGTTGGAAATTTTGGCTTGCTTGGCGAATTTATAAACGAATGGGGGAATTATTAGCGTAGATAATAGGTGGTTATATCGACAGGGTTGGTTCTGTAGAATTTGTGGAAATTGTTTGCATTCAGTTATAGGGGGTTAATTGGTTGCTATGAACGCTAGTGTAGTTAGCAGACGTTGCCAGAATATAGCATCCAAGCATCCAAAGATCCAAAAATCCAACGTTTCAGGCATCCAATTTTTCAAGCATTCAACGTTTTAATCCAACGTTTTATCCAAACATCCGAGCTTCCAATCTCCCTCTCACAATCTTAGTAATCCCAAAAATAAAGAACGCTATTTATCCTCGCTTTATCCTTCCCAATCTCATGTTTCTGACACGGATTTTGACAAAAAACGCGTCACCGCTGCGTTTACGAGATCCCCGTTTCATGGACGCGCAATAAACGACTCATCTACCCGTCGCGTTTCTTTCCCAGGTCTTTTCTCGCGCGTCCTTTCCCGAGGCTGGAAGGGAGTCTCCGGTATCAAGCTCGCGACGTTAATAGAGCGATCGGTAACAAGGTTATAAAGCAATCTGCATAACCCTGCCCGGTACTTTGCACGAGCTACAGGCTTCTCCTGTACCACTGCGAGCGGTCTCGTAATTACCGGCTATAATACGATTACCCGATCGCCAGACCCGGTAACCGAGAAGGCTCCTTCTCCTTCGGACCACCCTCGCTTTTCGCGTCCCTCTCGTTCCTCGCTCCTTTCCACCCTATCACTCTTCTCTCTTTCCTTTCCATATCCATTTCGGCGATTCTTCGTTCGTACACTCTCATCTTCTTCGAGAGTGAACAATATTCTGTTTGAGCTTGTTCTTCTTGACAGTGTAAGAGATAAATGGAATTTTCTCAAGAAAATTTATGCAAACTGCTTTGTACCGCGTTCTAGGGGATTAATTAGTTGTTATAAATGCTAGCATAGTTTGCAGACGTCCCTACAAAATAGCATCCAGGCATCGAGATTCGCACAACTCTCGTATCCCCAGCCAACGAGGATCGACCAAGCTTTTCACTGCCATCGCCCTAGGGTTCGTGTTCTCATTTGACTCGATCTTCTTGAGTGTAAGAAGCCCAGACGCTACATTTTTTACATAAACAAATCGAAGCTTCCACGCTACCAAGTATCTTACTCGCAAATTACTTCGTCCCTTCCAATAAACAAACGTTCCAAGCTTCGAGATGCGTTTACCCAGTGATCCACAGGGTGTACCTCCATAGACGTACAAATGCGTCATCCGTAGGTATTTCTATCGAGCCTGATTAATTCGTTTGTAGCGTGATTTATCTAACAACGTCTGGCGTCGGCTGCATCGGCAACGATCGTCGTAATTCCCCCATGGTACAGGGAAGCTGGCTCGAGACACGAGGCTGGGGCGATCTCGTAAATTCGTTTAAACGGCATCGAACGTCGTAATTTAGTTTCGTGTTCCTGTTTGCATTCAATCGGCTCCTTTCACGGCAGTCGCGCCTCCATTTCCATTTCTCCTCTTCTGCAGCGTCGGTGGATCACGCTGGATATCTAGCGCGCCCGTCGCTGCGAAATTAAGAGGAGGGACCGTCGCGACGTGTCGGTGTCCCCCGACGCAATACCGATGCAACCGTTGATCGATTTTTTCCAGACGACAATTTTCTACCTCGACGACTCGGTACAACTGCTTGTCTGGCCGGGCACGGTCTTATTCTACTATCTGGTCAAAGTTTTTATAAATGCAACTGATTACTCGAATGGGGGATTGGCTAGCCAGGCACGGTTTTATCGTACTTGTTAGTCAGACCAACGCATCGTGAACGCAACTGTTTATTCAAATGGAGGATTGTCTAGCCAGACACGGTCTTATTCTACTTTGTAGTCAGACCGGTGCAACAGTCTGGTACACTTCATTGATTCAGACGTAAGCGAAGAAACAATTTCTTTGTAGAAAAATAAAAGAAAATTCGTGCAACAGAGGCGCGAACTAATTCCGGCTCACTGTGTATCGGCCGATCTCGTAGCTCGCAGATCTGCGGAGCGATTTACGTCACCAGTCGGCCGACAGTCTTTATCGTCACGTGTTCGCGCGTTGTGTCGAACGAGTGCGAAGATAATCCGTCGCGAAAAGCTGTTCCGAGAGACAAACAGAGGGGTATAGCATTCCTTCCAATAAGTACCACGAAAGGCAAAAGTAACGACTATCTTTTCTTCTTTTAAATAGTTGTGGTTTCAGCGTTAATTAAACGAATTGCTAATGTCTTCGAAGTGTCTCCCGTTCATTCAGGCGTAAACACGCGACTGTTACATTCTTATCTTTACGCATTTACAGTTGAATTACGTTGCTAAATTGGAACCTCTAGCAACAATTTGTTCCAACAATAAAAGTTCTGAAGGATTATCGCGAATCTTGGACCGCGAGCCGTTTATCCTCCACGGGACAACGGAAACGACCAGTCGGCGAATCGATCGCACGTCTAATCGTTTCCTTTGTCGGCCAACTTGTTGAGGCGCGAAGCAACAGTTTGCCTTTTAAACGTGTCTTTTCTCCTCGCCACGGTTCCAACTTGGAACACCCATCCACGGATCCATTGGCTTTTGCCCTTTTCCTATCCAGCCCTTGTCACATTCAATCTCGATTAATCGACGTTCCACACAGAAATTCGATTTCCAAATGCGTACGTAGTCGTGGCCTTCGTCCTCACAAATTTGTCGAGGAGCAGCCACTCGTTCTGGAAACTTTTGCTCCAAGTAGAGGAGCGGACATTGCGTGTAAAGGAGGGAAATATTTGTATTTTAATTGTGAGGTGACATTTTTTTTTTTTATTTATAATGGCGATTTTATCTGGGATGGTGTTTTCTAGCGTGTCTGATTCCCTGTAACAGTCAACGTTCATTCCATCGAATGTAAACACACCTGTAAACGACGCAACAATTGCCCAGAGGTGGATCACACACACAGCGTGTAAAGTTTCAAAATATGCGCCTGTGAAAGTCCAGTCGGCGTTCCGCTTGGAACAACCGAAGCCAAGAAAGCTCTCTAGCGAGAACTCTCGGTTGCGAGCCCGTGTTAAAGTTTCGATTTCTCAAAGATACGATTAAGCTATTCACTCGACAGAACCGTGCTGTTCCGGCTGTTCAGTCGCACTAATTGCTTCCCCAAGTTGAAACTAACTTCGCGACTTGTCGAGGATCCGATCCAGTCGGATACTGTAGAGAACTGGTTTTCGCGACACCCAGTAACCGTATTAAAACCATTCTTAGCGGTGATTTGCCCGTCTTGTTATGATCTACGCTCGCTCGACTGTGTTTCGAGACTGGATACAGCTCTTCGAGGTGGGAGACGCGAACAGAATAGGCTTCTGGATAATTTTATTGGATAGTTCAAACCACGAACTATCGCTTTACTTCTTCGTTTATAAGTTAGTGATATTTCAGTGGACACAGTAAGTGATGAAAGATCTATCGACTCGTAGATATTAAAGAAAATACACGGAATATTCCAAGTGGCCTCAAACCAGCTGTTCCAGCGGCATTTATAGACTCGTCTGTAGACTCTGAATAACATTTGCGTATACCGTATATTGATATCGTGTGTTTACGTGCCTCGCGAGGTTGTTCCTCCCCGACACACACACAGCGTTAGACATCTTAACACGTTGAACGCCACGTCACCCATACGCATAGGTGACAGAGCGTTCCGCCAAGGAACTTGGACAATTAACTTCAAGAGCTAAATATCTCTAATTGTCCCGCAGACCTTTCTTCTCTGTGACTCAGTCTGGCGATCAACGTGTTAATCCTTGAAATATCGATAGCTCCGCCAGGATTAGAACGTTGAATCGTAATGTCATACGATGCATTAGCATGCAATGCCTCTAATCTTTTAATACCGATTGCAGTGGACTAAAGGAAGCTGAAAATACCGATCATAGTAACGAGCGCACATCGTCCAAGTGTTTTTAGTGCTATTGTGGTAGGATAGGGGCACGATGTAGGAGATTTCGTGAACAATACAAACGCTAGAGTCACGAACGCATCTACGGTTACAGACACCGGTGACCCAGCGTACACCCCTGAGAAGTAGATTAGGGATAGAATGCGCGACAATTACGTTAGCCGGACGGAAGAAGCGACCGGTAACCGTGGCGAGTGTCGCGAGTAGGCGAACGGCACGATTCTAAGATAAATCGAGCGGGTTGACGGTGGACACGATTTTTCTATTAGCCTTTCCTCCCCCGTCCCCTTCGACCGCCTCTGGAATATAATCGCGTACGGGTGAAACGAGAAAATGGGCGTGGGAGGACCGCGGCGGGGATAAAAAGGGGATGAGAACGAGCGAGAGGAATAGAGAGGGTGGAGAGGGTGAAAGGGGGCGGGAACGCGTAACGTACACGTCCATCGAATCGGGATAACGAGGTCGGATGAGTTGCCGGATCCCCAAGTCACTTCATCAACGCGGAGCCAGCTAAACTGTCAATCGCAAAACCACTACCGTGTCAAACCCTTTCGACAGCGCGCGTATCCCTCGATAACGCACTCGAGCCACATCGATTCCAGGCATTACTCGCGACTTATCGAAAATTCACTTCGGCGTTCGAGCACGATCGACGAGTCGACGGGCTCGCGTGGATCTGTCCGCGCGCGTACCTGCCACCGGGGGAATTTTTAAACGATCATTGTATGGTTTTTTAGATTGTTACGGGGCAGAAAGGGAACAAAAAGGTTCTATTGAAGTTACCGACTAATGGAACGGAGTTTATTTAACGATCGAGTAGCATACGAAATACTACACGTTTCAACCCTTAAATGCCCAAAGTTTCAAATTCGATACCGGACTTTTAAATCGAATTGTATCATTGCGATCGGTTTGTTTTCAATTGTTCAAATAATAAAGACACTGATATATATATATATATATATATGTTTTTAAATGTAATTTGGAAAATCAGGCTTGTAAGAGTCAATACGTTGATTGGCACGTCATCCAGGGTGGGCGAAAGAACTTTTCATTAAAGTATCTAAATAAAGTAATTCCGAAGTTGAAGCGTTAATAAAAATAAATCTGTATACGATTCGTGAATTTGGAGAGTTTGAAAAATTAAATAGATAGACCGTCCAATTTTTAATTGCCTCGTGACGAAATTTTAACTTTGTAGAAATATTCACGAGTTTCAACAGAAACTTTTTCCCATTAGACACTCGTGACGCTGTATCGATACGATGGTAGGTCCTCTAGTCGTCTAGATTCACACCTGTGGTTCGCACCTTTCAGGTCACACCTGTTGGAGAAGGTAACAATCCAAGAGTCCTTTCGCGCGGTAGGTTTTCTCTTTTAACCCAGGTCTGTGGAAAACCCGTGAAAATTGAATTCCCGTGGTTGGAGAAGATTGAGGAGGATCGGAGTAGGGAGAAGCAGGTAAAGACTTTTCTCGTAGCAGATAAACGGAATTGCTCGCGGTCATTCTTCGTCGTAATTACCGAACAGATAAGAGAATGAAACACGACGGAAGGAGCAAAAAGCAAAGTATCGAGGGCCGACGAGTGGCAAGAGAAAAATCTTCCTTTCCAGTCTTTTCTGAGAATAATGCACGCACCCAGGGGACCGACTCGGCTTTCAGGAAAATGCTGATTGCTTCCCCCACTGCGTTCTTGTCGATTCTCTTATTCCCCCCCCCGACTACCCAGCCTTATCAATCTTTGACTCGTCTCTAACAGGCGCCCGCATACTTCCACGGAGCCCACGATACGACGCACGCGTACGAGGATTCCGATTGTTTCTGTCTTTGAAGCACGCCAATGTTACGCTTTGGTGGAATTTATACGAATTAATACGAAAAAGATCTAATAGAATTACAGTGTACGAGGACGGTAACTATTCTCTCGGAAGAAAAACGTTGTGGTTGACGAGCAAATATTTACACGCCAGAAGTTTTGTACCTAAACAAATCGTACATTTAAACACCGAGGGCTGATACGAGAAAAAGTTTCCATAAATATCCCTGGCCAGGAACGTTTAACGTTCCAGCTTGTTGGAACCGCGTGAACGCGGGTGTATTCACGCGTACAACTGCACCCCACAGGGGAAGTCGAAGGGTGGATAAACGGAGAGCCCAGCGATTCTTCGTCACTGCACTGGCTGGACAATGGATATGCCGAACTTCTATTTTCCACGGTTTTTTTAAACCTATCACACGATGAAACAGACATTGAACCTACCTTCACCAAAGCCTGAATTTGTGAATTTTAATGAATAAATTCACTGAAGCCTGCGTGAATCTATTCTAACACATTCGTTAGACAAATGTTCGCATATTTTGCAACGAGATGAATGCAAAGGGTTAAATTTGATCAGTTTGATTAAATAATTCGATCCCTCTCCCATTATCGTCCCCTCGTTCGAAGACGAGTGAATTGCGTCGCTAGCTTAGAAACGGTTAAGAACCACTGAGATAGACGGATGGACAGAGTGATGGAGGGGTGTTCACGGTTAGGGCAGGAAGACCGAAGCCAAAGGTGACTTATCTTGCGGAACCAACCCCCGCTGGAGCATTATTCTCGAGACGCGCAAACACCGCATGAGATATTGGAAATATCTGCTTCCAGGTTTCGTTTCTCTCGCGTTCCCTTCCTTTTAACTAAAATTGTATCCGAGTTCTTCGATGGAGTTTGCGAAAAAGGAACAAAAAGGAAAAAAAAAAAGTGCAGAAAGCGCTTCTTAATAAGCCAGAGAAGGTGGCAGGGGGTCGCGGAATCGTTGTCGAGCGTCGCTTCCGACGGCCTTAATGGTTTCCTATTCACGGGGAGCCTGCGAAAATTAGCCCGCGCTAAAAGCATCGAGTAATCGAGTTATTACGAATAAAAGAGAGGCGGTGAGGGCGTGGGCTGCAGGAATGGTCGCGCGAGAGACCATGGGAGATACCATTAAAAGCTCTTAATTAATGCTGTTAATTCTATAGCCCACCTATCCATCGATACACGGGTGAAATGTCGATAATCGTTCCTCGAACGATCCTATCGCGATGGATCCATGCATTCCATTCGTTCCAATCTATTTCACGCGATCCTCCACTTTACATCCTCCACGTACTTGCATGCATATTCGTATTATATACTAATATACGTGTATTATGTAAAATATTATAACCTTTCTTTAAATTTTCTCGAAGCACGCAATATCTTCACTGCTTTACAGTCGAACGATTAAAGGTGGCCATAAATATTCGTACCCTCTGTGTTTATCGAAGAAGTTTGACTAAATTAAATAATAGTATGTATATGAATAATCTTGACATATACTTGGAAACCTAACAAACCTATCATTTATTTTAAACTTTCTTCGATATACCTACAAGGTACGAATATCTATGGGACCGACTGTATGTCTTTAAAATAAAGTTCAAACATACACCTCCGCTCTTCCGCGACAAAATACACAGACAAGGCTAGAACGAAAATAGCAGCACAGGAATTGGGTTAAGAATCGTCTCGACGATTGCGTCTGTAGTGATTCCAGCTCGCAGGATGGAAAAATTGTCCAAGAAAGCCTAACGTCTGTTACTCGAGGAAAAGTGGTCCCAAAATGGCGGAAGTGCGATTGGTGGCGCGATCGAACGCGGTGAAAGCAGCTGTTCCTCCCGTTGGTCCTACCTCGCGTAGGTTCGAGGATCCATTTAACGCCGGCAACGAAAGACTCCAGGCTGACTTCTTTCCGATCGACTGCAAACGTCGAGACACGCCCCGAGAATCGACGAGTCTCGTCTCGGCGAGCAAAAGAGCCCAGGTCGCTTTAATTAAAATAGTCCTCGAGATTTCTCGTGCGAACCTCTGGCAAACGTAGGGCGAGTGCGGGGCACAATGCAGCCAATCCGCTGTCCATTCTGCCCTGATCGATTCCCTCTTGGTAGGGGGCGAGTCATTCTTTTAATTACTCACTCGATTCATCGGGGAACTTCGTTTTGTTGATAAAAAAAATTGTGGTGGAGTTGGAAATTAATTTGGAAATTGCTGGTGGTTTGTTAGCTGTAGAAGGAAGGAGTGTCAGCCGCTGATGTTTGGGTCTTCGTGGTCTCAATGAGGAATTAAGAGATTCTGCGTACAGTCCTATAAGTATTCGTACCCTCTAGATTAATTAAAAAAATTTGTCCGAATTAAATGGGCAGGTTTCCGCATCAATTTTTCATTATAAATATGTACATGCCCTAAAGTTTATTCACGTGCATATTCATGGTGAAACATTTATTTGAAAATATTAAGCTTACCGTTTAATCTGGACAAATGTGGAATCTTTGAATTATAAGATCCAATCCTCCTCTCGAGACGAGGACATCTAATTTTGCACCTTCCTATCGATCTGTGAATCTCTTCCTCACTTCTTCGCCATTGCTACTAGCTGGAGTCAGTCGCGAACCATCCTTACGTCTGTGTTTTAGGTTACCTCGACGTAAGGGTACCCGAGGAAACAGCGAGCGAGGATGGGTGGCGGAGAATGGACCAGTTGGTTGCAAGGATGTCGAGAATCGCGGAGATTGGTTCTCGTGATCGTCGCCATCGCTCTGCTCCTGGACAACATGCTTCTGACTACGGTCGGTGAGTAAAACGCTACAAAAATAATCATAGCTTACATTTTGGACCCACTAGAACCCTGAAGAGAATGTCTCTGAATAAAATTCAACTTCAGCTATGAAAATCTTTGAAGATACCAACTTCTACTGTCTCTCAGGATTTCCTATCGATATATTAGATCAATGGCATTGCCAACTGCCAAATGGCATTCAAATGAAATTTACAGAAGGAGAAACAGTTAGTTTTATCGGCATCGTATCTCACAGCTTCTTGCAGTGGTTCACAGCGAACATCACTATCGTTGGTTATAGATTCTAGGGGTAGTTCACCCCGAAAATCGCTACCATTCGTCATATCTCCCACAGTAGCCGACTGTGACCACTTTGCCGCTCTCGGAGTCGATCAAAATTCTGATTGCGAGTCCCAGGACGTTGAGGAAAGCGTTTACGACGCTAGAGTGTTCGACTGTAACCGAGCTGCTGGCCACTCGTATTTTCCAGCTTTTAACTTCTCCCTCTCGGACGGCTGTGTACCGTGCTTTGATTTCTTTCACCGTGACGGTAAGATGTTTAATTCACGAGGCACGGGTTATCGTGGGGTCCCTCTGGAAGCGTCGGGAACACAATATACGCCAGGGGACGACCGACGCGTTCTGGCAATCCGGATAAGTGGTCATACATTTATGGAGCGTATACGAAACAGCTTTTCAGCTTATGCGCGCTAACGAATCACGAGATGCGCTTTCGGTTGAACGATCGTGGATCTTTCTTTCCCATCCGAACGCGTATCCGACTTTCGACTGGACTCGTTTTCATCTGTGCATTTCCTAGCGTTCGGTCCTGACGACCATCTTCTTGTTAAGAAGATCTTGTCGAAAGTTCAACAACACGAGCGCATTTCTAATTCAAAGGAATTCAAAAATAAAAGGAGTACTCTTTTTATTTTGAAACTTTAGTAACTTTAATTTGCCAACAAGATTATTACTTTGTTTCGTCGTATATGTTTTCATGTATTTTCTAATCGATTTTATCGCATTTAGTCACCACTCGATTTGCAAATCGAGGGGCCAGACCTCGAAACGTAAAATAATTATCAGAATCAGCTTCGTAAGCATTTTGATTTCGCTCAAAATGGTGCTGTATGCACTGTGCTCTCTGATCCGACGAATAGAGAAGAAATAAAATGAAAAGAACAAAAAGTAGATTTCGTTTGGAGGTGCTGGGATTTGAACCCAGGACTTTCAGCATGCGAAGCAGACACTCTACCACTGAGTTACACCCCCACGGTGAAAGCAGAGTTTGCACAATAGCTACTTCTCCTATCGGGAAACGTACGTTTACTGTCGAGTAATCGATGATTACAGTTCATCTGTAAACTTTGCAAACTAATACTGTAATTGTTTCGGATACTGTGAGAAATTGATAAAGACAAATATTCTGTACAAATGGTCTCGTTACTGGAAATTCTTTTTAGAAGAAATTTATGGTAAGATTTTCATTCGAAGAACATAAATGAATTTAAATGAACGAAAATTATTCCAGGATTAAACAAAATTGAGAAACGATGGTCCGAAGATAGAATTGTTGTCGGGTAGAGGTTCATATTAATCATGCTCTTTGCAGTGCCCATTATACCGGAATTTCTGTACGACATCAAGCACCCTAACTCGACCCTGAGCCAGCACCTCGAATCGAGTGGTCCTGCTCGAACGACCACGATGAAGACCACGACAAGTACCACCAGCAGCATAACCACGACTCCAAAATGTCCTTGTGCCCCGAACAGATCAAGCGATGCTCAACTGGAGTTCATTTACGCCAGCACCCTATCTACCATCGATCTTCCTGGTAAGAGGGATCTTCGAAATATTCATCCATCGTTGGCGATTCGACCAACTATAGCGTACTCCTTTAGAGGCTTTTTTTCTAAATCATGCATCCCATTCGTTTCTATTATTCGTCGCAGAGAACCCGGTCGACAATGGGAGTTTAGCAGAGTTAAAGGAAAAGGAGCAGAGACATCGTGAATTATTGGAGGAAACTGTCGCGGTTGGGGTAATGTTCGCATCGAAAGCTTTCGTACAGCTCTTGGCCAATCCTATCGTTGGCCCACTTACCCACAAGTAAGCTATCTCTTCTAGAGTAGATGTAAAATCATCGTTTCCATTCCCAATGAGAATATTCCAGTAATCGTCGCGTTTGCTTTTCCAGAATTGGTTACAGCATCCCCATGTTTACTGGATTCATCATTATGTTCCTTTCCACGCTGATATTCGCGTTTGGACGAAGCTACGGCATTCTTTTCTTGGCAAGGGCGCTGCAGGGTATCGGATCATCGTGCTCCAGCGTTTCAGGTAGTTTACTTTAAACAGTAATAATCAGACTGCAAATTTTATGCAATTATGATACAAACTAACGTGGTAAACGTAACCAAATGGTACACTCACTTATGTAAAACTAAATAACAATATTATTATATGAATCGTAGAATATATTCAACATACAGTCAGTCCCATAAGTGTTCGTACCTTTTATGTTCATTGAAAAAGTTTGTCTCAATTAAATGATAGCTTTGATGTTCCCAAATAAATATTCATTATAAACATATATATGTGAAAAGTTTGTTCGTGTAAATATTTATTATGAAACACTTATTTGGTAACGTTAAAGTCATAATTTAATTTAGACAAATTTCTTCGATAGACGTAGAGGGTACAAATACTTATAGGACTGTCTGTATATGATGTATATTTTATGTACGATTTCTATGATGTTGTGCATAAATGCATAAAATTCGTAGCCTAGCAATAATTCAAACCAACGAGCATCTTTGTGCAGGTATGGGTATGCTGGCCGAGAGATATCAAGACGATAAGGAACGTGGAAACGCGATGGGTATCGCGTTGGGTGGTTTGGCCCTCGGTGTTCTCATTGGTCCACCCTTTGGCGGGGTCATGTACGAGTTCGTTGGGAAATCTGCTCCGTTCTTGATACTTTCCGCATTGGCTCTTGGCGACGGAAGTAAGGAGTTAGTTTTCGTCACACATAATTCATGTCACGCGCTCTTACCGAGCCTTTTTTTATCGTCCCAGTTCTGCAACTTCTGGTGCTACAACCGTCCGTCGTTTATACCGAAGCAGATCCGCCATCTTTGAAGTCGTTGGTCACTGATCCTTACATCGTGCTGGCTGCTGGTACGTATATGTCGAAACGATGCTTGGCGTGAGCAAATTATTGTAAGGTAAATTCGTTGCAAGCGTTTTTAATTGTATCATTTTATTTTGGTCTTGTTGAGAAACAAAGCGACGAACAATTCATTTTAAAGATGTGATATGCTTTGTATTCCGCCAAGTTCCCCACAAGCCTTACGATGGCAGAGTAACGCGTCTGACCAACACCATCCATAACTACTTCTAGAATCGATACGTCTTCCGGAAAGAAAGACTCTTTCTCTCTGTATCAGAATGGCTCTACCTGGCAGTGAAACGTGTATTGTTTCACGGAATAATGAAAGTCTGTCTCTGTAGGTGCCATCACGTTCGCCAACATGGGTATCGCTATGCTGGAGCCTAGCCTCCCGATTTGGATGATGGACACGATGGGTGCGAGCAGATGGAAACAGGGCGCCACGTTTTTACCAGCGAGCATCAGCTACTTGATCGGTACCAATCTTTTTGGACCACTTGGGCACAGGATGGGCAGGTCAGTAAACGTCCAAGTGATTTTTTAAAATACAAAAATATTCATTCGTAGCAAAAAAATTGCGGAAATTGATCGAGCTTTGTCATTTTGTTAGTGAACAACATTGTTTATATTAATAAAATTGATCGCTATGCCGCGGTGATGGGTAATGGTCAATTACAAGGCGCTCATGCATGGCCTGGATAGCTCAGTCGGTAGAGCATCAGACTTTTAATCTGAGGGTCCAGGGTTCGAGTCCCTGTTCGGGCGTTTTCTTTTTTATTTACAATAAAATATTTCCTATAGTACTCTTTCACATTCGTACGAACATTATTGCGATTGCAACCTGTGGAGAATTACAATTAACACAGTTACATTAAAATATACACAAATAGAATTTTAACAGAATATACTTTATTCATTTTTGTGTTCCAGGTGGTTGGCTTCCTTGATCGGACTTGTCGTCATTGGTATTTGTCTGATGTGTGTAAGTATTCGTGAATGTAACGCGCAAAATCACGTCGTTGTAACCATTGCAAATAAATTGTCGCTTATTTTTCGAATAAAATTATGGCCGTCTCCGTTTTCTAATTTTAAACACCACAACTCTTTCACAGATACCACTGGCAAGGAGTATCGATCACTTGATCGTACCCAACGCTGGTTTGGGATTCGCTATCGGCATGGTTGACAGTTCGATGATGCCCGAATTAGGTTACTTGGTGGACATAAGGCACAGTGCTGTTTACGGAAGCGTTTATGCCATTGGAGACGTTGCATTCTGTTTAGGTTTTGCTATCGGTAAGTATTCATAAATATTACTCGTGCATTCATGTATATTATGTCATTCAACGAGAAAGAAAAGAAAAAAAATAATACTTGCATCGGCCGGGAATCGAACCCGGGCCGCCCGCGTGGCAGGCGAGCATTCTACCACTGAACCACCGATGCTTCTTGGAGGAATTACTAACAGGCTAGAACTACAATCTGCTTGAATGTCCTCATTAAATTACATGCAGAATATATGAATGGCTTAAACGACAGATATCGTGTATATTTATGTTGAACCAGAATTTCAAAAATAATTATTCAAGAGAATATTAGTAAATAACTGTACAATATTTAACCAAGTAGACTATTACATCTATCCATCTATCGTTCTTTAGGACCTGCATTGAGCGGTACATTGGTCAACACAATCGGTTTCGAATGGATGTTATTTGGAATCGCTATTCTCAACTTTCTTTACGCTCCTCTGATGTACTTTTTGAGAGCACCACCAACGAAGGAGGAGAAGAAAGTAATTAGTTTAGTCGTTCGCGCAATGCATGAAACATCGGTACCGTTAACCCCTATGTTTACCATTCGTTACGTTTCAGTCGCTAATCATTGGCGAGAAATCTTCTGTGCGCTACGTAACGTACCAGAACGAAGAAGAGGAGCAATAAACTAACCTGGGACGCTCTTCTCGTCGATCAGTTTTCCGTTCATGGTATTCTTCACACGATGGAACAACGAGTTAAATATAATTAGCGATCCCCATCCGCAACCTGCCTCAAGATACATCTTTTTTTTTTATAGGTTATGTGTATCTTCTCGGGGAAATTAGCGATACCGTAAGACGACAGAAAATGTTGTCCTTGCTCTTGACACTCTATGTTTAGAACAGTGACGCTCATTTGCACCAGTGTTTCTCAAACTGGGGTTCACAAATTAAAAAAAAAAAAAATGCATATTATAAGCATACTAGTTTAACAAAAAAGCTGCTTTATAAGTGTTAAAAAGCTCCATAGATTCTTACAATTTTACCTGGAAGTCAGGTAATAAGTAATTTTTGTTACATTCATTTCTGTGCAGTAAATTAGTTGTACAACTTCGATTAAAAAGTATTCTTCTTAAAAGCCTTTAAAGTATATTAAAAATATAACAATTCAAATGTATCCTAGGGAGTTTGAGAAACACTGTCACTTATTATATCGCGGGATATCAAACGCTTGACAAACACGCGATCATCTCGACGGAACGAATGATCGACTTTCTCTTTATCCTCGATGTTCGAAGCACGCATTGGCACATCCATCGATCTTTCGAACTCCCAGGATAAAGGAGAAGCACGCTGTACGAGGATAAAACTTTCTGAAATTCGCGCGCGCGCGATAAATAGGCGTTTAATTACTTCCTTAGCTAATGAAAATTGTATATACACACGTATATGTACTTGTAGCAGTAGATCGAAAGAATAAGTGTGTGCGTTCAAAGAAATTGTACGCATCGGCATGTATAGAATAAGTGCATTTGATTTGCATCGATCAATCGATAAAGATGTATACGTAGCTTGTACACCGCGATCGGTCGGTAATTTATTCGTTAGTTCGTGAACCGTAAACCGTGCGAAATCTTCAGCCGCTCGTGACGAAAAAATATTAACAAAATCACAAAATTTTTTTACGGAGAACCGCCTGATTTGGATTCCCTGAATGGCTGCAGGGAAACCGACCGCCAAAACAGCGATCAGGTGTCATGAAGAGTTCTCCAAAATTTGTCGAGTCGATTCTATTCGATAGTCGGTAAAAAAGAGTATACCGACATGTTGAACCAAGTAGTGACAGCTGAAGAGAATTTGCGATCTTTATCCTTAGTAGGTAATTAAGAAAAAACCGATTTCAATATTCTCTAGACGGTATACCTATATATGTATACATGTATAAAAGAAAAGCTGTTGTGTTATTACTACGCGGTAAACGATAGGATTGCCACAAGTTTAAATTCAAATGAAATATTTACGATTATATATATGAATTTATCGCACTCTGTATGGTATATACACTGATGAAAATATCCACTGAGAGTCTTATTAGTGTACAATTCTGTTTATGAGATGCCAAGGGTCCTATGCCCTAAGCTTATAAATATACGTACATGCATACACGCACGTAGGGCTTTAGTCTCTCAGAAACAGAATTGTCCTATTTTACACTTATCAATATGCGGCAATCCTGATAAATCGGTGAATAGGTTAGCGTCGTAGCGTTCGTAGGATTAGCAAATCATACGATAAACTGTGTGAATTCGCGGCGGGAAACTCTACCTTCAATATTCTTTGTTCCGTGTTGGTTCTCTTAAAAATATTTATAAAGGAGATACACGCGTAGAAACGCGTTACGCGTATTCGTGTTCCAGTAATAGTTCCGTAAGCATGGTAGCTTAAATAGAACAGTTGCGTATAAACAAATTCTATAACCTCAAAAGTAGGCTGATTGTATTCGTTGTTCGGTTCGAGGAACAAAGGCCGTGTATGTGTATACAACCAGGTCCTAAGCTACTGCAAATGTACGTGAAAATAATTTTTAAGGAAAGAAGCAGCATTATTGTATTGTTTCGACAAAGGTGCTAATAATACATACTCGTGCGAGCATACTCGATATAAATACTAAATGCACTCGTGCAACATAAATATATGATACTATAATTAAGCGAAATTATATTTGTGGTAGAATCGTAGAAACTTTGAATTTCAATCTGTAGTATACTAAGAGATGTATAATAGAGTAGATTAGAATAAAGCGGAGATCCATCGGAATTTTCTCATAAGATTGGCGGTTCTATTGAATGTCAGAGACGAACAAGATTATCTAGATGAAATTTTTTAGTAAGACATAAAAGATGGAGAATTTACATGCGTTATTCCGTTGAATTGATGATTAGTATTTGGATTATAGAGTGAAATTATATTTCATGGCGAATACAAATTTGACTGTTCGAGTAAACAAATTTTATCCATCTCTGATTGAATCCAACCAAGTTGCATTTGAACAAATATTTTAACCGTTCGAAACCACTTATGTGAATCGAAATTTTCAAAATGAAGAACATGTACCACCAGATTGATAAAGAAGAGAACAACAAGACAGTAATGTAGCTAGATGCTAGAGGGAGCTATTCTTCTTTCTTTTTGAGCGGATAAAATATTTGACACTAACTTCAGTGGCGTAGCCAGCAAGTTGGAACGAATTAGTTGGAAGTTTGTCGAGTGGATATACATGTACAGCTTTCCATTTCGAATTCTATGAAATCCAAGAGGTTGTGTCACATGGCATACCTACTCCCGGTAAAAAACGCGAGTCAATTCGATTTGCAAATTCTTAACGAACGCTCGCCGCAACCGTATATATTTAAGAAGGAGCATCGCGTCACATGAAAGAGAAATATAAAAATCTAAAGCGAATTTCAGAACCGATCGTTTCGAGAAATCAGTGTCGTCATATTATAGGGGGTAAAGAATCGCAATCAAGAATCGACGAATCGCCATCGTTGCATCGTCATAGTGTAACTGCTATCCATTATGTGTACCGTACGATGTAAACGCATTAAGGATCGTTCAGATTTCTGTACATATAGAGGACGTACCATATGTGTATTTAAGATGCAATTATAGCGAAATCGTAGATACACCAACTTTTCAAGTCAACTTTATCGTTGGTCGATGACGCTTCGCCCGGTTTCTCGCTTCTTTTTGCTGAAGGCAGACCGTTATCAATTCATCCTTTATATTTTTAATACATTCCCGTTTGATTGTCGAAGTTCGAGCGTTTAAATTCGTTTGAAGGAAAATGTTTGAAAATAATTCGCGTCAAGCCCTGATAAGCTTAGTTTCACCACTGGTTGCAGCCTGTGGCTTACTTTACGCATGCGTATAATATAATGCACTCACCCCGAAGCATTAGTTGCAGGCTGTAGTCGATCTGTCTGCATTGCTGGTGAAATCGAAACGATCTTTTTGGAGATAAGGTGTCACTGATCAATAATTATGCTCAAACGAACACGATCGAATGATGGCATCGATTTAGAACTAACTCGCAAAATCGACCGTAATCGTAATTCGATATTTTTGGCGACTGTGGCGAACATCGAAAAATGATTCTTTTTCGACACTTTATAATTCGATGCATCGAATATAGAAAACGTTATGATCAACTGAGTTCTACAAATATCTTCGGTTTTCAAATTTGAACAAATACAAGTATAACAAATTAAAAAGAACTTGCGGGTCTGGGTTAGATTACACTGCACACTATTAAATTTCCATGGCTGGATCGACGTTGAATTATTTTTCGATGCATTGGCCATACTCCAAAAATTGTCTATGCTTCGTCTTCTATTTTTGTTTAACCTTTCGCGCGGGAATTCATCAGCCATATTGTTGTATCGAGCTCCGATCGTGATCCAGTTGTACGCGAGCAGGACGCTAAGCTTTTCGATGTATCTTAGTGCCGCGTTTAAAAAAACAATTGAAAACAAAATCTTAGCGAATAATTCGTCGATGGCTGCTATTGTGAACAGACAATAAGCAACGATGACGGAGACGAACGATCGTTTTCACGTTATTATATACTTCGATATGCGTTCATGTCGATGAACTGCGCGTTCTTGATCGATCGCTTTCGAACTTTGAGATCGATAGACGACGGAAAGACTTGAATTTAGTTACGTCAAAGAACGAACAAACGAACATTAACCAATTCTATCTATGGCGTACGCATAATTTTATCTACGAGTACTGTGCTTATCTGAAAAGAAAAATCCTACAAGTTATGGGAAACGTTTTTCTTCTCAGAAGACCACAGAACATTTTTGAACGCAATATTTTCTTGTATCCAATGATTGTTACGTAAATATTTAACCAGCTGGTGTATGGGTCCGACATTTAATGCCTGTGTAGTTGTTGAAAAACAGCGAGATTTGAGGGAAAAAATAAAGGTAGTCCTTATTAAATTGTATGGTGTGTGTATGTGTGTGAGTATGAATTATATAAACCTGCATAAATGCAGATGAAAGATGCAAATCTGCGAAGGTAAATCATTATGGAAAGAAATTTCGAACGAGTCGGCTCTGAAAATCGTGGATTTTTTGCCCATTATATATCGATCAACGTTCGAACGATGCTCCAAATAACGATTTAAACTCGTATCTAAAGATTGATCCTGATTACTACGATCAAACTTGTTCTATCGAATTAATCATTACTCGACGTTACTTGTTACTTAGAAGCATGATGTGTTTATGTGTGTATTATTCAATATCGTGTAACAAATAAATGTACGTGTTCAACGTGATGGAAATCATATGATCTGCATGAACTTTCAAGTAAAGGATTATCTTTCGTGTAATTGCGATCGTTGAGCAATTCATTCTCCCATTCGTGTAATATATTAATTACATTACGATTTACTGATACAATAAATACACAATAGTTCGTTTATTTATTCTCTAAATATTCAGGGTAGAAAAATATCTCGTTAGAAGGACACGCATCGGTAACTGTTACGCGGGAACTCTTCGTCAAATGAAAAATTAAACGTCTAAGTTGCGAACGTAAGAATGCAAATACGATTTCAACTGAATACATACGATGTATGTACACCGATACAAATTGCGTGAGTCATGTATCGTCAGTGATTCTCCTTCCGAACATCTTTAATGGTAATTAACAATATTTAACATTAGTATATACAAAAACGCGTTACTCAGTACGTGATTTTAATTATATCACCATACTTGCACATACGTGAATATAAATATATATATATATATTTCATTCTCAATCACAACTCAATTAACATATTTCAATTCTTATGTAATTTACGCTGAATTGCTTGTTCACGAAAAGACACTGAAATACTAATTAAAATAAAATAACTATCGTTGCTATCAACGCCAAAAAGTAACACGCTTCTCGACGGAAAGATTTGCCCCGGCATACATATTTTTTTTTTACTTATCAACGATACGATCAGAAATCAGTCTAATAACAAAAATACAAGGTTACAGTTACCATGAACATTCACAGAATAAGATGCTCCGATGTATGTATTTAATCGATTTTAAGCGTGATGTTTCTGAGAAATCTAAAAGCATCTCATTCGTATCCGTCGTTATCACAGTAGTCTAGAAATGTATAAGTCTAGCATCTTCTGGGTTCTGTTCCACTGGACAGTACGGGCATTTCAATCTGAAAAAGAATCGGTGTCTTTTTTTTTGCTTATTTTCCTCTTTTTTTCGGGAAGCGATTTTAGTTATTTAATTGATATCATCCATTTTACTAAATTACATACTTGTTTGCACTGGTGAGCTTGTTTAACGCATCTCTCGAGATAACGTGACCGCAGACTAATTTCATTGGAGGATTGTTCTCTGTGCTCTGTTGTCTTAGAATCGGACATGCGAAAACAGAATGGTAACGACTTTGTTTGCCTAGATCTATTTCGATCTGTGTAATAAATAAATAAAGTCGTTTAAGTAATGCACAATAGTTTTCAACCATTGACTTTGCAGCAATTACTTACTGGTAACTCGTCTTTTCCATTCCAAACACCTGTTACTTGTCTTTGTTGCATAACTTGTTTAATATTTAACAGCGTGGGCAACGCAGTACACCCCGCGTTAATGCTGCAATAAAATACCACAAACTTTTTTTAATCGTTCAAGCGTCATTTCCCGATTTATTAGAACAGAGAAAAACGTACCACACTGAAAGAGGACTATCCACGCTCAAGCCCAATAACGTACACGCCTCCCTTGTGAATACATCGTGAATATCTAGCCACAGAGTAGGATCTAACAAGTGACTGTAAGGGGAGGATTGTATTCCGTTTGGCAAATAAAGTAATGTGCCCATTAAAGCTTGCACCTCTTTTCCATGACGCCCTACGTATTGCGTAAGATTCTGTCGAGCGTACATTATCGCTTCGGTTTGCTTACTAGGACCTTGTTGAACTAGTCTTATGAAATGTAACCTATGTAATTTAAATTCCAGGGAAGAATTCTACAATCAACAGTCAATATCAGGTAATATTTAAAATTGGATTGTATTCTAATAATATCAACAAAATGTTACATACTTGCGCTAAAAGTGCCTCTCTATGTTTTTTAGCCCAATCCAAAGCGGGTTCTAGATCTCTCTGCTTCAAGCAATCAAGAATATAATTTAGTTCTGTGAATGGTTCTTTTGTTTCTTCATCTGTCTTAATTCCAGCTTCCTAGAATAGAAATTGAATCATATTCTTTATTCTGCATTTAATCATGAAAGCACATTTATTGTTACTTACTGCTGCTAATTCAGCTGCAATGTCTAGCATACCATGACGATAGAAATGTTGGCAAATGACTTGGTTTAACAAATGTGATTTTTCTGGACCAGAGAAAACATCTTCTCTGCTGGTACTTGCAAAGTCGGCAGTAAAATTTCTGTCTATCGCTTTTCCCACCTTGGACACTGTACTGTGTAATTCCCGATGATCGGTGGCTAAACGTTGTGCAGTTTCACGGACTTTTGTCATTGTGTCTTTCAACACTTGTGCTAGGCATGGTGTTAACTCATGATCGGTTGGTGCTAATGAAAAGAAAATCCTAACAATATCATACTGACGTACGATAATTCTAAGGATATTTCTAATCTGCTTTTTAATTAATTTTGAAATACCTATAATCGAGAAGTGTTTCAAATACAAGGAGAAATTTTTACCGAATGCTGCAGCGAATTGAGTTAGATTTAGTAAGATACAAATCATTGCAAGATGGAAACGGGAAAATTTAAATATTTCATAGATTAAGGTAAATCTACTTTACATACTATCGTATTCAAACTTTCTTCTATAGTTTCTTCCATGTTTGCAGCGATTACTATCAAAATT